ATGGTCGCCATAGACTCCAGATGTTGATGGTCGGCTTGCTCAGGACTACCGGAGCTGGAGGATTAAACCTGTTTTTAGTGGTCGGGGAAACCGGAGTACCCGGAGGAAACCTACGCAGTGCTATCCACTCAGCCACCGTGCCGCCCAAAAATTAATTGTTGCCGTGTTGTGCCCAGAGCTTTTCCGGGGGAATCCTGGAGGTGTGCATTAAGCTGGTCATTTTTAGAGAGGGAACAACACGCAATGTAGCAGATCACGATAGAACTGCTTTGTGATGTTGATTATTTAGGAGCTGATCCTATTCTCACGTCTGGCCCAGATTAGTTTGAGCCATAAACTTTTATGCCTGTGATTTTCTGCTTTTAATGCCAGTATTACACCTTCACTACATTTCCAAAACACACAATTTTAGTTTTTTTAGGAATTAAAAAAAGCATCAAATGCACATTACGAAACCAATGGAATCAGATGATAGTAATTTGGTTCAATCAATCAATCAAATTTTATTTATAAAGCGCTTTTCATACAAAAAGTGTAACACAAAGTGCTTTACAGTTTAGTTAAAAACAATCCAACATGCCCAGCCCTAAACCCTCCTCCCCACAGACCCCCCAAAACCACATTTATAATTATATATACAATACACACACCCACACACACACACACACACACACACACACACACACACACACACACACACACACATATACACAAGTATAAAGTCATATCAGGTAAAATAGGTAAAACAATAAAAATAAATGGGGCTGGGAGCAGATGTAACTGGCTGAAGAAGCGTCATCCAAGGAGCCATCTGCACCAGGAGCAGAGAGCCGGCTGCAGCCACAGGCAACGACACAGGACCCAGAGGAGAGAGGGGCCCCAGACCCCACCAGGCCCAGGACTCAGACCCCATAGGACCCAGAGGAGAGAGGAGGCCCCAGACCCCCACCGGATCCAAGAGCCAGTCCCCCGAAGCCACAGCAGACCCCAGCCCTCAGTGCAGAGGGCTCCTCCAGAGGAAACACTGGGGACACTAAAACAATACAATAATACAATAGAAAGTAGAACAATAAAATGTGAAAATAAAAAGAAAAATGGCAGCTGCCTAATATTGATAATAACAATAGTAAATGGGTAGATACAATAAATAATTAAAAATAGTAAATAATAAAAATAAATAAAAATATAATCCGTCTAAAAACATAAATAGATGTACTAAAAAGCAATAATAGATAATAAATACTAATCAAAAGCTGCTCTAAAAAGGTGCGTCTTGAGCCTACTCTTAAAAATATGAACGTTCTCTGCGGCCCTGAGCTCCTCCAGCAGACTGTTCCAGAGACGGGGGCCGTAGTGCTGGAAAGATGCCTCGCCGTGAGTGTGTGTCCTGACTTTGGGGATGGTTAGGAGTCTGCTGCCGGAGGAGCGCAGGGGCCGGGAAGGCTCATAGGATAAAAGCAAATCTGAAAGATAAGAAGGCCCAAGACAATTAAGACATTTAAAAACCATTAAAAGAACCTTAAAATCGATCCTGAAACACACGGGGAGCCAATGCAGCGATTTTAAAACCGGTGTAATGTGGTCCCGCCCCCTGGTCTTAGTCAGGACACGTGCGGCCGAGTTTTGAAGTAATTGTAAACCTGAAATGTTCTTTTTGGGAAGACCAGAGAGCAGGGCATTACAGTAGTCAATGCGACTGGTGATAAAAGCATGCATCAGCGTCTCCGTGTTGGCCCGAGAGAGAATGGGGCGGACTCTGGCGATGTTCTTTAAATGATAAAAACCTATTTTTGTGATGTTCTTGATGTGAGGAATAAAAGTCAGCTCAGAGTCAAAGATTACGCCCAGGTTTTTCACTTGTGATGATGGATTAAAAGAGTGTGATTGGAGTTTCGGTAAAAGTTTCTCTCTCTGGGCCTCAGGGCCGATGACTAAAACCTCAGTTTTGTCCTGGTTGAGCTGGAGAAAGTTTTCTGCCATCCAGGATTTCAGGTCTAAAATGCAGTTAAAAAGAGCATCCATTGGCCTGGTGTCGTCAGGAGACATGGAGATGTACAGCTGTGTGTCATCTGCATAACTGTGGAAGTTAATTCCATGTCTCCTGATGACACCGCCAAGAGGGAGCATGTACAGGTTAAAAAGGACTGGACCTAAAATGGAACCCTGGGGCACACCACATGTGATTTTATGGACCTGAGAGGAGCAGGTATCCTAACTTACCATGAAGGATCTGTCTGTTAAATAAGAAGTGAACCATTTGTGGACAGCACCAGAGAGGCCGAGGTGTTGTAGGCGTGATAAAAGAATGGTGTGGTCTACTGTGTCGAAGGCAGCGCTAAGATCCAGTAGAACCAACACGGTCACCTTTTTAGAATCATAATTTAGTCTAAAATCATTTAAAATCTTTAAAAGAGCAGTCTCTGTGCTGTGGTTCACCCTAAATCCTGATTGAAATTTCTCTAAAATTTGCTGCTGATCTAAAAAGGCATTGAGCTGGGTAAAAACAAGTTTTTCTAAAATTTTGCTTAAAAATGGTAAGTTGGATACCGGTCTGTAGTTGTTAAAATCATTAAAATCCAAATTGCTCTTCTTCAGAAGGGGCCTCACCACAGCCGCTTTGAAGGCTGCAGGAAAGACCCCAGTCTGAAGAGAGCAATTCATCAGGTTTAAAAGCTCCTCTCTAAAAGATTCACAAAATGACTTAAAAAATGGAGTGGGGACTGGATCTAAAAGACATGTGGTGGGCCTCACTGAGGAGAAAACTTTATCAAGCATCTCAGCATCAACCAGGACAAAACTGTCCAGTGTTTCCTCTGGTGAAGACAAACAATCAGATGTGTTAAAAACAGTTGTGCGGTTGGATAAAATGTTACATCTGATTGTATTTATCTTCCCCATGAAGTGGACTGCAAAATCCTCACAGAGGGAGTCTGTGGGGGTTAAAAGAGACATGCTAAAATCAGGGTTTAAAATGGTGTCGATGGTTGAAAAGAGGATTTTTGGATTATTTTTGTTCTGGCTGATTAGTTTTGCAAAGTAATTGTTCCCGTTTTTCCTGATTGTGTTGTTGTAAATTTGCTGTCGGTTTTTATATATTTCGTGATTGATTGTCGTTTTATTTTTTCTCCATCTTCGCTCTGCCACCCTGCACTGTCTTTTCATACTCCTTGCTTCCTCATTTTTCCAAGGGGCTATAGATTTTTGTTGAATGGTTACAATTTTTAATGGAGCAACCTGATCCAGTGTAGTTCTTAGTCTACTGTTAAAATCATCTGCTATAAAATCACAGGGGGCAGGTAAAACCAACTGAAGAGTGTTATTTAGAATGTCCATAAAATTTGCAGCCACTTCAGGGGTTAGACGTCGTTTCTTCACAGTTCTCACAGAGGTCTCCTGTTTAACAAAACCAGTGATTTTAAAAAACACACAATAGTGGTCAGAGATAGCCAGGTCAACAACAGAGGACACACCCGCACTCAGGCCATAAGTAATGACCAGGTCGAGGGTGTGCCCTCTGTTGTGCGTCGGCTGTGTGACATGTTGAGTAAAATCCATGTAATTTAAAATACTTACAAACTCGCGGGTAAAATGGTCTGATGGGTTGTCAAAGTGGATGTTAAAATCACCGGTTAAAACAATCCTATTATAGGAATTGTATAAAAAAGATAAAAACTCTGAAAATTCATTGATAAAACGGCTGCACTTTTTTTTCCCCAATTGAGGCTGTGACACCACCTTTCTTCCCCTTCTCTAGTTTTAAAAGCAACAGCTAAATCGGGTGGGGTGGCCTCTGTGTGAGAAACAGCCGGGCATCCGCCCAGCCAGGTTAAGTTAAAAAATTGCATTCAGTTTGTGTTGTAAAAATCAAGACATTAGTGATCAACGTTCTATTTAAAAGAGAGCGTACATTTTAAAGAGCCCAAACCTGATGGAGGATGGGAGAGTGCATTTTTGTTTGTAGATAGTGAGGGGAGAAGATGTGGTGGCGGAGCATCGGGCACAGGGAATGAGGGAGTGAGGGGACGGTTTCCGGAGTATGGACGGTTGTAGGGGGGGGTCTGGACGAACTGAAATTCCTTGTTGGGGGGCGGGAAGTTGGGGGGAGCCGGGACTGATGTTGGTAGTCCAGCGGGGCAGGAATGATGTGGGATGGAGTGATGGGTTGTCAGAGGTGCGGGGGACGGGATTGAACTGAGTGGGTGATGTTTGAAATCAGGGTACCGGGCGGCCGAGTTTATTGATATGGATGGTCCATAGGGTGCGAAGATGGTGGGTGGCCCGGTTCACCGCACAAATTAAAATATGTCAATTAAAACCAAAGTTGTGCTGCTGTGATGATTTTTGAAGCAAGTGGTGAGTGATAGTATTCTGTAAAAACGTTCACCGCCCCGGTTCCAACGTGGGCCAGAGGGCCAGAGATAAAAACACTTTCTTCCCGGTTTTTGATAAAAGGTTTAAAAGGTCCTTAAAATGGTGTTTGGTGATTTCAGATTGGCGGAGTGGTGCAGCATCATTTGTACCTACATGAATTATGATCCGGGTTATTGTGGTGGGTGCCTGTCTGTAGAATGTGCGGGTAGTTTAGTGAGGATGGTAGGGAACAGTGGCTCCGGGAAAGCCTGTGTCGTTCTGGCATTGAAGAACACTTACCAGGGTTTGATGCTAGAGTCCCCCACCAGGGTGTAGTTGGTGCGAACCGGGGAGTCGTGGAGGGGAGGGGATGTGACTGGGTAGGACCCGGGGGGAGCGAGGGGGACAGGAGAGGTTGGATGGCCCGGTGCAGCAGAGCTGTGCGAGCCCGTGAGCAGCCAGCAGTTGGGAGGAGGGGATGGGAGCGGAACGAAACCGGCGCCCCTGCAGGGGGTTGGTGGCTGGTGGTAGTGCGGTCGCGGTTGTGGGAGGGCCATGCCCCGGGCGGAGAGATCCTCCAGCAGGCGAGACAGCCTCCGCGGGGGTCGCGTGAGATAAAGCGCCAGTAGACCCCCCCCGGGTTCTTTGACCTGCTCCTCTCCCTCTTTGACCTGCTCCTCTCCCTCTTTGACCTGCTCCTCTCCCTCCTTGACCTGCTCCTCTCCCTCTTTGACCTGCTCCTCTCCCTCTTTGACCTGCTCCTCTCCCTCTTTGACCTGCTCCTCTCCCTCTTTGACCTGCTCCTCTCCCTCCTCTGACACAAACTCCTCTTCTTGTGCCTTGATCATCCATTGTCGTTTGGAACCTGCACTGACTTATAAAGTTGTGGTCACATCATTTGCAACAAGAGTTTTCAGCTCTGAGTGGTTGTGTTTTCTGAATGACACCAGGTTTGTTCATTGTGTTCAGGTTTTGCTGACAGTGGGAGACGTTTTTCATCACATGAGCCTCACAATGATTATAGGAGCAGAGATACATGCAAAAAGTGTTTTAGCAAAGGAAAAATTTGTTTAGAGTTTTGAGAAAAAGGGCATGTGTTTTGTGAACAGTGTCTACAGGAGAATTGTGTTTATGGTTGTGAGAAGTGGGGGGAAGTTTTAATAAATGTGTTTAGGCAATTGGTCATTTGGTTTAGAGTACTGGGTTTTGTGTTGTAGCAATAGAGAAAAACTGTAATAAAACTGATTTATTATTATGTCTTTGTTGCAGCACTGCATGACGAGGTCTTTTTGGACTAAAATGTGAGCTTAAAGACAATGGACTAAATATCAGTCCACAGTCAACTCTGCTCCAGGACATGCTGGACACCTTTTGAATTGAAGTATAGAGGAACCTTCAGCAGCAGATCGACTGGAACATGCAGATCCTTTATCCTCTGGACTCGAGCCAGGACTTCTCCTGTGTGGACTGTATTTCAGCATCTGAGACTGGAAATCCCATAATAATTATTCACACCATGCACACTTGGTTGTGGTGAACTCTTTTGCACGCTGCTTATACATCGTCAGTGCTCTGTCAGGGAGGAAGACTGGACAAGATTTCAAAGTTGTAGCATCCCTCCCTTGTCTGTGCCATACGAATAATCTCCCCCCTTGTCTGTGCCATACGAATAATCTCAATTGCCTTAACCCCAGTCTGTTATGGGTCCCTCTCTCTAATAGGCCTACTACTCATTTGGTGAGCACAAGTTCAAGTTCGACGGATGATGGAACCACAATTATAGCTTTGTTTTGTATGGGTTGTGATAATGTATATTTTATTAATGCAGAAGATTCCGCCTGGTAAATGCAAAGGTACTGTCCGGCTGGTTCCCGCAGGCTTTGAGAAGTAATCGCAAACTGGAGGGACAAATATTATGTGAGCTTAATATTAAGGTCAGTTCAATAGACTTTCATTTCTTATAAACAATAGTTGAATCTTGTGTTTCTCTGGTTTGGTACTTAAGACATGGTTATTGCAGAGTAAACAATTGGGACTCAGGGAAGTGTGGACAAAAACAAGTCATGTATTGTGTGTGATATGATTGACATCCACCCACCTCTTTCCACTCTGGATATTCAGTTTTGTCATTTTCAGCAATGAAAAAGACAGGTTAAAAACCAAGCCGATGATAGTTAAAGTACAAAGTAAAGCTTTTAATCACCTGTGTTAAAATGAAAAGGGACCTCACTAACTGATGTAGCTCAATGTTTACTTGGTGTAATAGATATTAACATGCTAATGATCATGCTAGAACTGGCACACTTGTTTTTAATTCCACAATACAATGACTTTGTTTCTACTTTGTCATTCAGTTTGTAGGATTTTAATGGATTTATTTAGCTTTTTGGCTGAACTATTGTGAATGTTAATAAAAAATATTTACTCTGATTGGAGGCTCCAGACTTGGATTGAGGGATGATGGGAGCTAAAGGTTCATGTATATTGTAACAAGAGGCTACAAACATGCTTCTTTCAACGATATAAAAGGAAAGCTACAAACATCTACAAAACACTTTAGTGGATATAACCGCTTTTACATCCAGTCTCTTTTGAACCAGATTTCCCAAATGACCCAGACACTCTGAAATCGCAAAAAAAACAATGGGAAATGTGAGGGTTTGGTGGTCACTTTTATTATAAAATACATAAAGCATCTGCAGGTGTCTGTAGCCTGTGCACATTTCAGCATACGTCTATTGTCCGCGCTCTAACAGTTAACTAAAAATAGACTTTTGAAATTACACACGTTACTGTTCAGAGCGAGGACTGTCTGGAACAAACAAGAAGGCAGTGTTCTCACAACGCAGCTTTAGTTTGTGACATTTAATATATTATAAAGTCTCTCCCAGAATGGCATTCAACACAGCTTCCCTGGCTTTTATTGATTGCACATAAGTTCCCTACAATCTCCAATTTACAAATAAAGCCCGTAACTAGAGTCCCCAGGTAATACTTTGCCTGGAATGTTGCACAGTGTGACATTGTATCCTGATCACTAATCTAGATCATCTCATGTTTCTATAATGAATATATAACATAATTCACCTCAGCGTTTACAGGGTGATCACACCTTTTATTCTAATAGACTTGAAATTGAACTTGTGGCAACAGCTGCATGTAAAAGCCAGATTCAATCAGAAGCTAAGCAGGGCAGAGTCTGGTTAGTACTGTGACAGGAACCCTCTGGGAACACCAGGTGCCATAATGGGGCAGCTGCGACTTGTGTGCTGGATGCAAGACCTGCTTCTGTCAGTCAATCACCACCACAGAGTATCTTTCAGTGCAATATAAAACTAATCTATTGAATATTGGTTTGGTATTTTAAAAATCTCCATGAAGACATTTAATGCCATGTGTGGAACATTACAGGCAAACATCGAGATGAGCCAGTGATGGATCCTCCACCTTAAACTTACAACTAAATGTAAAAGTCAAAAGTTGAGAACAGCCACGTGACTAAACCATGTGACATACAATAGAAAAATTGACTGAAAAAAAGACTAAGACACATAGATAATAAAGATAGTGCCGTTTTCTCTCTAACCAGCAGCGTATTGAGAGAAGTTGCAGACAGTGGCTTCATTTCTTTCTGCTGCAAACAATGGCACAAAAGCAAATGAGCAACTTTCAAACAAAAAAAATATTATCGCTCAGCACAAGCAAAGGTCGATATGTCCAAACTCTGCTCCCATTGTTTCCGTGTAGAATGGGTACATATTCAACCTGCTCAGACAGTAAAGCTCAAGTCGCTGTAGACCTGCATGAAACTGGATTTGTGTTGTAAGCGTTTTTGTGCACACCAGAACTGATGTTTTTTTTATGCCAGAGGTGTTTTGAACGCTCCCCAGGCGTGGAAGCAGCGTGTGAAGCACTGTGGCTCGTTCCCTTTCCGGACCAGACGGAGCTTCCTGGGGTGCTCCGTGTCCTTGGCGCGCATGTGCTGGATATAAACCTGGGGAGATTAAGAGATGTTATTCATCCCACAGTGGGGAAATTAATTAAAAGATATCTTTAAAGAAGCAAGACTTTGGGGAAATCCTCCTACATACCTTTTTAAGTACAAAAATCCAAACAAATCAATAATTATCGATATAGACTGATATGAACCACTTACATTGTGAGTTTTAAGCCATACCCTGAGCAAGTGTAAATGTTGCATATTCTAGAGCAAGCAATAGTGTATGTATACTGTACATCTATATATGTTAGCTGCACAATGTGACTTAGTAAAGTGACAGATACAATATATAACCACATGTGTTACTGACAATATTAAAGTTATTATTGTAGAGTAAAGTGACAGGAACAAGTAAAACTGAGAATACAGGATCCAAAACAGGACGTGAGAAAACAAAGAATGAATGAAGTCTCACCTGGCAAGCTTTGAGACTAAGTTTGATTTCCACTTGGCTTGTCTGATTGCCCACCCACATGTAAACCTAAAAACAAAATGACTTGATATCAGAATGGTGGCCCCTATATCTTAAAACAAGTGCCTGTTGCTGTTTAACACACACACGCGCTTTTGATTATGGAGCGCTTTTGATTATGGAGCGCTTTTGATTATGGAGCGGTGTCTTGTCTGAGTGAGTGCTTTGTGTCTGAGGGATTGGAACAGAATGAGTCTGCTTCATCCAACCCCTTTTCAAACTGGATTGCGGTTTATTTGTTGCCATTTTGGTGTACATAAGGTTACATAAAATAAATACATATAATAAACAAGACTATGGGAAAGGAAAAATATGACTTGCACTGTATATAACCGGTTTTAGATTTGTTTGTGATTCTTCCGTCCGACCTACATTACATATTTATTCCTGTTATCTTCAACCACACAAAGAGACATCCCTGCAAACAATGATATTATGTTGTGTAGAGTTAAGATTGAATACAGGAGCATTTATACTACACTAAACAAACACAGCTGCTCCCATTGCCTCTGTAGGATCTCAGCATCATTACCTCTTTGCCGTTGTCCAGAAGCATGATGTCATCGTCTGCCAAGTCATCCTGACAGAAGTCTGAACACTTCTCAGAGACAGAGAAATAACCTTTTTCATTGGAACACCTGGAAGAGAGAGAACAGTATTGTTTGTTAATTAAGTCTGGTCTCTGTCAGGAGGCTGCAGGACATACCTGAAGAGTCGGGCGTATTTCATATAATCAGCGTCTTCGTCATATTCCTTCTGAGAACCAATTCCCACCCAGAAGAAGTTCTCCGGCTCCTCCCCTTCATTGATTACCTTAAAGACATTAAAAAATATAGATGTTCAACTTTTCAAACTCTTCAAATACCCATACTTTGACAATTTTGAACTATGCAGTTTTGAAAACAAAGTTGTTGATACATATATTTTACAGTTCATTAAAGTGTGTAAATCACAATATGACAAGTATGATACAACAATGGCTGCCATTTGGGACTTGTATAAGTCCCAAATGCAAATTACCAAAAAAAAGGGTTAATGCTTGAATGAAGATGGGCCCTTTGGGCATATGCCATTTATATTTGACTTGCCTAATGTCAAAAGTTACTTGCCCAAATATTTCTCAATACAATAAGTTAACGAGAGTTTGGAAATAAAGTGGCACTAACTATGTGGAAATAATTATAAGAAAATTCACTCGCAGCCCAAAAAGAGGCCTGCTCTCAAGTATGCAAAATTTATATTTTGTACAATTTTGTACAATTTGTACAGGCCATATTGGTTTTTTTGTTCGATTTGTTCACAACATTTTACTTTAGTGCACAACCAAAATGCATTGTTAATACAATGTAGGCACCAAAGCTTTAATTTTGGGAGTTTTGGTTGTGCTTCTGCAGGAGACGGGGAAGACCAGAACTTGCAACAAACTGGGGATGGTCCTCGTTACGGCTGTGCGTTCGCTGAGTTGTTATCAAAGCGGCTGCAGCTGCCCCGGGTCAGAACGGAGGATGTGGAATCTCGTTAGAATATGTACAGCAAACAACAAAGTGCCCAAGGTCACACATTTCACAGAAATGACATTTTCAGCAGGAAAAAGTCGGAAATCGCAGATCCGCAGATAATTTTCATCCCCAGTTTATCCTGCATTTTATTTTACCCTTAATTTGAATAAATTTTGCGCAAAAATCAGACCTGGCAAAAAATGTATTATTTTGGTGTTTTTATGGGACTAAAAAAATGCCAGAATCCCCTACAAAAGCCAATTTATTCAGCCTATGGGAGTTGTCCGAGGTCAAGTTTGTCGTAGAGCCACACAATTCGGTACGCATGTTCCTCAAGTCAATACAAGAAAAAAAATTGTGAAGGAAGCCCATGAATTTTATTGAAAAATGGAAAAATGACCCTTTTCACACATTTCGGTTGCAAAGAGACGACTCCTCCGCTGTTTCATCGTTTTGCCTCAAAATCGTACCACATCGTCTAAACACATGTACCATCAAAATGACTTTACAGAATTTTGATCAGTTCAACGGTGTTCGAGCAGCAGAGCGGCAAAATGTGACTTTTTTGCCATTTTTGACATAAGCAAATTTTCTCCCGTTTGCACATACAGAGTCTGATTTGCACAAAACTTTAATCCATTGTTCAACTCCAGGGTCTAGGTCATTTGAAAGTGAATTGGCCCATTAGCGCCAACTACAGACTATGTCAAAGTTTTTTTCAAAATGTTTGACATTTTGCACATAATTCTGTTTTACCCTCTTGATTCATAAAATCAATGACAACCAAGACTTATATTTTACCCTGTTGCCGTGACGACATCAAATGCTCCCCATTCTTTGTTAATGGCAAATGCATACCTTGCACAAACATCAAACCAGCCTCGGCCGTTTCACCGATTTGGCTGAAAATCGCTCCACATGGTCTCAACACATGTTTCATCAATACCTGTTCGTAGAATTTTGATTAGTCACATATTCATCCAATTGAGACGGAATATATACAGTGTCTTGCGAAAGTATGAACCTTTCAACATTTCGCCACATTTCAGGCTTCAAACAAAGATATAAAAATTTAATTTTTTGTCAAGAATCAACAAGTGGGACACAATTGTGAAGTGGAACGAAATTCATTGGATAATTTAAACTTTTTTAACAAATAAAAAACTGAAAAGTGGGGCGTGCAATATTATCCGGCCCCCTTGCGCTAATACTTTGTAGCGCCACCTTTTGCTGCAATTACAACTGCAAGTCGCTTGGGGTATGTCTCTATCAGTTTTGCACATCAAGAGACTGGAATTCTACTCATTCTTCCTTGCAAAACAGCTTGAGCTCAGTGAGGAAGGATGGAGAGCGTTTGTGAACAGCAGTCTTCAGCTCTTTCCACAGATTCTCGATTGGATTCAGGTCTGGACTTTGACTTGGCCATTCTAACACCTGGATACGTCTATTTGTGAACCATTCCATCGTAGATTTGGCTTTATGTTTTGGATCATTGTCCTGTTGGAAGATAAATCTCCGTCCCAGTCTCAGGTCTTTTGCAGACTCCAACAGGTTTTCTTCCAGAATGGTCCTGTATTTGGCTCCATCCATCTTCCCATCAATTTTAGCCATCTTCCCTGTCCCTGCTGACGAAAAGCAGGCCCAAACCATGATGCTGCCACCACCATGTTTGACAGTGGGGATGGTGTGTTCAGGGTGATGAGCTGTATTGCTTTTACGCCAAACATATCGTTTTGTATTGTGGCCAAAAAGTTCAATTTTGGTTTCATCTGACCAGAGCACCTTCTTCCACATGTTTGGTGTGTCTCCCAGGTGGCTTGTGGCAAACTTTAAACGAGACTTTTTATGGATATTGTTGACAAATGGCTTTCTTCTTGCCACTCTTCCATAAAGGCCAGATTTGTGCAGTGCACGACTGATTGTTGTCCTATGGACAGACTCTCCCACCTCAGCTGTAGTTATCTGCAGTTCATCCAGAGTGATCATGGGCCTCTTGTCTGCATCTCTGAGCCGTCTTCTCCTTGTTTGATATGAAAGTTTGGAGGGACGGCCGGGTCTTGGTAGATTTGCAGTGGTCTGATACTCCTTCCATTTCAATATAATTGCTTGCACAGTGCTCCTTGAGATGTTTAAAGCTTGGGAAATCTTTTTGTATCCAAATCCGCCTTTAAACTTCTCCACAACAGTATCTCGGACCTGCCTGGTGTGTTCCTTTGTCTTCATGGTTCTTTCTGCGCTTTAAACAGAACCCTGAGACTATCAAAGACCAGGTGCATTTATACGGAGACTTGATTACACACAGGTGCATTCTATTTATCATCATCAGTCATTTAGGACAACATTGGATCATTCAAAGATCCTCACTGAACTTCTGGAGTGAGTTTGCTGCACTGAAAGTAAAGGGGCCGAATAATATTGCACGCCCCACTTTTCAGTTTTTTTATTTGTTAAAAAAGTTTTAAATGTCGTTCCACTTCACGATTGTGTCCCACTTGTTGTTGATTCATGACAAAAAATTAAAATGTTATCTTTATGTTTGAAGCCTGAAATGTGGCGAAATGTTGAAAGGTTCAAAAGCTTTCGCAAGGCACTGTATATATATGGACACACTCACAGATCATACATGTGCTCCTGTTTACACATACAAAATCTGATTTGAGCTACACTTGACTTGGTTGTTCTACTCCCGGGCCTAGGTCACCTCAAGGTGTGAAATATTACATTGGCTCTTTAGCGCCCCCTATAAACAAGCCAAACAACTGATCATATTCATTACAATTTCACAAACATTGTTCTACGACAAGGGCCGTTCAACGCCGCTTGTGCCTTTAATTTATCATTGCATCTCCTGTGTTTGAACAGTTTAATTCTCTGATTTATGTTGGCGAATCAACAAATCCTCCGAGACAACTACTATTGTGATCTAGATCTATACAAAAATAAATTGAACAGAAAATGTAATTTAAATTTAGAATAAGAACAACAATTTCTCAAAATCCATTCAATTCTATTAAAATTCAGATAAATGCTCCTTCTTGCCTTTTCATTTTATTTTTAAACGTTCATAGTTCAGTCATTTCCTTACTTGCCCAACACAGTGTAGCCAGAGCACAGGTCTCTGACCAAATTTCTGATTGTAATTGTTTTGGTTATCAATACATTGAACTCAAGTCAAATCCCTCAACCCAGAGTAATTGTCTTGTGTCCATGTTCTAGTACCTGTTTACTGTAGGTGTCGTCGAACATGCAGTTCATTATGTCTTCTGCCAGTTTGGCCTCGTCGGGGTCCGCAGCTCTGCCCACCCAGGTGTAAACGATGCCCTGATTGTCTGTGCTCTCGAACGGCACCTGCACAAAACAACATGAAGCAAAGGTTTCCGCCAGACGCCATCGGCGCAGTGAAAAAACCCACCTTGAGAATGAAGCAGAACTCAGAGTTGAGATTGCTGGAATCTGTCCCAATCTGAATCGTTCTGTAAAGAAAAGAAGAAAGATGTGACTTATCTAAAAGGTGACACTGTTACAGATGCTGTGAGTTGGCAAAAGTCGCTCACCTGGTGCAAAGTGCACTGCCGTTTGTGCGGATGTGGTACAGCGACGGCTGAGCAGAGTCTGTCTTCTGTTTCCTCTTTCCTTTGTGGATGATGAACTTTCTTTTGAAGTGAGACAGGAACTTGAGGTTCTCCTGCTGCTGTGTCATCCTCACCACCTGAAAAACCAATGATCCATTACACCACATTCTACACATTAGACACAACTTTTTGTTAATCATGCAACATAATTTCAACCTCACGCAAAGAGTGTAAAGAAGCTAATACCAACTTACCTTAGAGGTTTAATCCTCATCCAAACAAACAGTTTGTCATTTATTTTTGTTCAAGAACTTATGACCGGATTTAATACATCCAACAGATAGGACTATGTTTAAATCAGGGATGCACAAACTTTTAAGTTAGGAGGCCACTTTAGGTCACCAGGCTTGTCCAGGGGCCGACAACCGGGCTGAAAAACTGTTATGCATAGATTCAGACAGTTCTGAGCTTTATAATTAGCTATGGCGAATCCTCAGACTATGATGTCATGAGCAGAACTGATTGCCTAAAGTTCAGTTTTGGAAATGTCTCCTGTCAAATTACATTAATCACAGCTTCCGTGCTCGAAGTTTATTTATTAGTAGAATATAATTCGGTGGCTTCTACGGGAGCAAAGAAATCTAAGTATTCAGTACTTGTGAATCGAACAATTTCTGCTTGAGTGAATGAATAGATAAAATGAAAATGACAAAACTGAACTATCCTGGCTCAATAACTGTCAGTGAAATTGCATGAATGTATTTCAACTAGGGCTGTAAAAATGATAGCGTTAAAGCACGTTAATAAAAAAATTTCATTAATCACATGTAAAAAATTATTGCATTTGACGCATGGGCCGAATGACCCGCCCTAGCATTCCACAATAACACTCAAAAGTGCCGCGGACACATGCGTGTGTAAGATGGCGACAGTGCACTCAAACGGGATTCCGCATCCTCTGTGGCCGCAGCGTTCAGCCCCAGGGCAGCTGCGGCCATTCTGGACAGTGGTTCCTACCTCCAGCGGATGTGAGCCGTTTTGACAACACGGCGAACGACGCCTCAGTAAAGTGACGCACACAGAACTATTCTCTGCTTGTTGTGTGCGCATCTTTGCGTAAACCTGTGCATGCAATAAATAAACAGCTGAAGCTGGACTATGAAGCCTCAGAAGTGTCCGTGTCTCCTCCTAAAGCGCAACTAAACTACTATTTTTTCCCTTGCACTACCAGTTCATGATGGTTGTGCCCAAAAGTAAAATAATGTGAGCAAATGAAACAGATTTAATGACAGCCATTGGCTGATTCCAGACTTTTTTTTAAATGTCCCATTCTCATCACTGTAACAACCATTAGTTTTGGGCTGTGTACATCTCCCTCGTCTGTGTAGTGACATGTTTATTACATTACTTCCACGTACCGATCCAGATTTTTTGTAATCCGATCCCGATATTCTTAAATATTGTTTTACCGATCCGATTTGTTCTAATATTTTCAAAGCATTAAAGATTTTGCAACCAGTATTACTTTAAAATGTTTTTTTAATTATAACATGACCAAAAATATTGTTTGCTTAACAGACCTATTGAGTTAGGTCATAGGTAAGAATCACATCACTATTGAATATTTCACCTTTATCATAAACTTAACCTAAAAGAAATATCAAAGGGGAACAATTATCAAAAAGCTACCCTCAACATTCAGTATAACAAAAGGAAAAGAGCTGGTACATAACTGAATGACCACAAAAAGCCAGTACTTAACCAGTGTGTGAACTCTGTAAATGTAAACTCTCCAATAGCAAAAATAATCAAATACAACAAGGCATTTGTGCTACATTTAACCTTAAATCAACTCAAAACAATGATAAAAAATAGAGGAAGGTACTCCTTCTTTTAATTGCTGGTGCAGCAGCTGTAATAATTCACCAAGCATACAGAATCTTATTCCAAATACAAAATTCAAAAGGGGAGTTTTACATTGTATTTAGTTTACTTCAGCTGTAAAGCGTGAGCATGCTGAAGAGACGTAAATCGCCTTCTCAGCAAGAAGGTCCTGGGTTCGAATCCCGGTTGGACCATTGCCTTTCTGAGTGGAGTTTGCATGTTCTCCCCGTGTCTGCGTAGGTTTCCTCCGGGTACAAAATGTACAATAGGTCTGGCATACGCCTCCTGTTCGGCAACCCCGCTCCCATCTCTGTGTGGAGTGAGAGGACAAATGCCCAAAAAATAACAATTGTAAACCGCTTTGTGACTCTGGTCTGTTAAAGGCGGTATATAAATAAAGATTACATCCCTATTAAATTATTAAACTGTAATTAATTTGATCAAAAATGTTAATCATTTGACAGCCCTAATATCAACATGATTTAAACTGTTTGGTAAAGCACTTACAATTGCGTTGTGTGTGTGCAAAATGTGCTATGCAAACACTTTGATTGTAAAAATGTCGCGAGTGATTATTCTGTCCCTTAAACATGATCTTGAGAATAACTATAACTTTGTACTTTAAAGGACAACTCACCCTCAAATCCACTTTTTTTTGCTGATAAACGGTATAAATGAGTGTCCAATAGTGTTGTCTACATATCCTGGTCATAATTTTGTCACTTTGGTGCAAATTAGTTGAAAGTTAAACTTTCTGCCTAAAACCGTCTGTGAGGCGCCATCTGCTGGCGACCTGTATTACTACATTTGAATTTTGAATCTGGCGCCAACACTGGCGTGCCAGCAAGACCTGACGTCTGAAGCAAGACCTGACGTCAGCAACCCCCCGCCCAGAGCTATGTAAACGGCCCAGTCTCGTTCACGCCCCCTTTAGTCCTCCAGGCTACGCCCATTTAGAGGAAGATTTGAACAGGAAATGTGAGTGACGTAAGCTCCGAGGAGAGGGGGTGAGAACCACTTTAAAGCAGGCAGTGACGGAGAGAGCTACACTTGCCTTTAACTTTCCCGGGAAAAGGCTCTCAAACTTCTTCTGCAGGGAGAAGGTGAAGGTGAGCCAGCCCATGTTGGAGGCCTGCCTGCCCTGCCAGAAGTACACCACACACTGGAAGTCCTCCTCCGGCTGCTTGTCCTCCTCATCCTCGGCCGCCGCTCTGCCTCCCCCTCCCTCCTTCTTCTCCTTGTCCTTCTCGTCCTTCTCATCCTTCTCGTCCTCCTCGTACTCAACAGGAACCCAGTATCTGCCGAGACAAGAATCATGAAGACGTACACAGAGGACGAGACAAAAACATTAAAAGCTGAACCCAGGGCACAAAATTAACGGTCGTCCATTTGCCCGAGGCAACTAAAGACTCAAGACGAACGAGGGCGCTGTCTTAAGAGATCCTTTATTCGTCCCACAATGGGGAAATTTCAAGTTGCCCGGTGATTCCCAAACTTTTCCTGCTGGGCCCCCGCTTTGGTACTTAACCCTTTAGGCTTTTAGTTTTTTCAAGACAATATACAATTTTGATTTCAAGATTTCAAAAGGCTATAACTTTAAAATGGTTTGAGATAAAGGCATAGTGTAAATTACAAATATCTTCAGTTTGAACCAAACTTTGGGATGGAAGTTGATTCGTCATCTAATTAGCATATTGTGACATAATCAAGGTGGCTGCCATATTTGAAAATGTAAATTATTATAAAGATTTCAAAAAGCTGTAGCTTGGGAATTTTTTGATATCAGGAAATGCTATCAACAGTAAATATGAAATATCTTTAGTATGAAATGAATTTGGTATAGAAATAAATAATATTTAATCCCTGATCCAGATTATAAATTATCTTTTAGCACATATGGGGCCATATGGAATTGTATTATTTTCAAAGACCTTCAGTGATCAAGACAGCACTCTTTATAGTTTACAGTCATGAAATCTGGGAGATTGGTTTCAATATTTCCCTTTCAAAGAAGTGGTGGGCATACTATTTTTCTCAGTGGAAATGAGGCTCCAGGATTTATTGTTTAGAAACAGAGATGCAATGAAAGGGCTTAGAACTTGTCAGATCGTCTCAACAATATACATCAGGCTCTTCAACACATCTGATTGACTTTTGTGGAATATTTTCTCTCAAGAACTGCCTTCATCCTCATCATGAAGGCGATGTGTTTTGTTTTTTTTACCGCGGCTTCTCCCGCGTCTCCCGCCGCGGTTCCCGTGGATGTTTACCTCCGCTACTTTCTCCCACATGCACGGTGTTATGATCCCCCTGTCCCCTCCACCAAGGCCCCTGCTTGGCGTTCGCGGGATGCTTCCACCGCGGGTCCGCAAAGGTGAAGCAGCCGCTGTACTGGGGCTGATTGTGGGACTATATGGAACGCAATGTCCTTGTCTGCTTCACTGGACACCTGCTTGTCTTGCTCCTCTGAATCTGAGTGAGCCAGTACCAGACCATGTACTTTTCTGGTACTGAAGACATCGTGAGTAAAAAACACCCTCTGCTATGCTCTCGCTCCGCTCAGTACTACTGCATCGCCTCCGCGCTGCAGCGCCGCAGGTGTTTTACTAACTCAATTTACTCAAAAACTTTCAATATAACCACACCCACAAATGCTGCTCAAATTACAGGCACACATGTCCGCTAACCCCTGGTTAGGAATGCACGCATGGACCGCGCTGGGAAGTCGATGGGGTAGAACGCAGGAGATTGATTTTGCTTTCCTTGGGACGTTCGTGCAGCAACCAATCAGAGAGCCGCAAAGTGGTCAGGGGACATTTGCGGACTGAGCGAGCAGACTCGTAAACAGCCAAAACAGGAGCTACATCAGGACTAAACCAGGGTTGACAATGGGGGATATAGTGCTTGTTAACATGTGAGTTTTCATGCACCCGTGACTTTATGCAACTGCTTCAAATGTGTTTGCCGATGCGGAAATACTATTATTGCGCACCTCCGTGAACACATACTACTGTTAAACAAAGTCCGTGGAAGGTCTCTGAACACAGACACGCGGCAAAGCTGCATTATTGGAGAAGATCTGTACACAAGAAGCCGCTAGCTAAACTCTGTTAGCATCAGAGCCCACCGCCTATTTCCGGTGTAACGCCGAGATACACTGCCTTGAAGAGATGCACTGCCACAGCTGTTTATGATGTAAGGCAAACCTGCGCATGCGCGTCTCACGGCAGCCGAAGCATACCAAGATGGCGGACCGTGAATTTCTTTAAAAGTTAAAATACAAACGAATCAAGACACGAATGTCACTTTTAATGCAATTTGAGGCGAGATGTTGATGGTTCCGTTTTGTCACATGTGGGTTTTAAGAGTCAAAGTTTTGTGCAAAGTTTAGTTTAAGCAGTCAGCTGCGCCTGTGAAACCACAAAGCTAATGTTTTCATAGCAGCCTCCGCGGCTGCTGACGTAGGCTGATGACGCGTCCTGTGGCCACTCTACAGCTGGTCTATCGGGTTGATAATGGAAAATGGGGAAAAAACTCGAATAAAATATTTCGTTTGAACACACTATTATTAATCATATTGAATACAGTATGATACATGTATTAAATTTAATTAATTATTTCCATTATCAACCCGACAGACCAGTTGTAAGCTGTAAAGTTGCCACAGGACGCGTCATCAGCCTAACAATGCATGTTGGTTGTGAACAAAAGTAAAATGTTGTGAAAAATTCAAACAGAACACAAACGATAATGATATATATCGTGATAGACACATGTTCACTCCGTTAGAAAAAACAGGAAGTAAAGCCAGAAGCGTGCTGCATTCTGGGGGACGTAGGCAGAGGCTTCTCGACCTATCACGGCCGAGCATGAAGCGCAAAACATCCTGGGAAATGCAACAAAACAAAAAACAACCACACCATGCGTAGAGTCCATGGATCTATAGATTGCTGTGTGTTTCAATAGCGTGTCAATGGTTTTGCACGTCCGGGGGAGGAATAGCATGTGAGGCGCGGTACAGGCAGTGGGCTAAACAACTCAATGCATGTGGCAAAAGCAAGAGATGAACTTTTTCCTCTGGAAGCACGTGTGGCTATCAGGAAACCACACGGACACACACCACATGTTCACAAGCAGAGTTCTCATTCTCCCAGGGCGATATGGCCCCGTGGCCATATTGCCTAGCCCTTATGTCAAGGCCTGAAACTTCTCACCTGCATAAGAACACATAGCAGTCCTGAGTGAAGAAGTGTCCGAACTCCTCCTCTGGAAGCCGAGCAAACTTCTTCCCTTCCAGCACAAAGCCCTCCATTCCATCCAGGTCCTCGTTCCACTCTTCCATCAGCTGTTCGGCCTACGCACACACACATACGGGCACACACACACAAACACACAGATACACATACAGCCAGAGTTAGGCAGAGCTGGCTTTGCAGATAAGATGATTCAAAACAACTCCACTGGCTCCTGTTCCATATCTCATCCAATACAAGGTCCTCCTCTTCACCGACAAGTCCCCCCCATAACCTGGCCCTTCATAATTCACTGACCTCCTCCATCATAATCATGGTCTCACCTACAGAACCGCAGACTCCAACCACCTCACTGCCCCTCAGGACTAAACACCAAACCTTGGGAGCCCGAGCTGACCCCACTCTCTGGAACTCAATCCCTCAACCAATCAGAAACTCTGACTGACTACAGAAATTTAAATCACTTCTCAAAACCCACCCGTTTCTCCCTGCCTTTCCTTATTTCTGTTCAATGTTTATTTTTATGTCTTTTGTAAGTGTCTTTGAGTGTCCAAAAAAGCCCCATACAAGTGTTATGTATTATGATTATGATTATGACTATTGTTATTAAAGATGTCTGTGTGATGTAACCTCAGAGAGCGGCATGGGGGGCTGTCTGGGCAGGAACAGAGCCGTGAGGTCGGCTTTCATCTGGTCTTTCTGCTCCGCATCTTTCTTCACCTAAATAAGGACACAGCATTGAATATGTGCTTTCTTTACGTTATACATACTGTAGCGTAAATAACATGAAAGCTGATATTGCTCATGTTTTGCAGCAGATTAAATACTGACCTTGCCCTGCAGGTTATCCTTCTGTTGCACAGTCTCTGCTGCTCTGGTGTAATCCACCTTCAGAACGTCGTCCCAGTTCTTGAATTTAGACTTAAACACCTAAGGATGATATTCAATGATTAACATGATTTTAAATCTGTTCTCTATCAAATGGGCCTTTTCAAAAGTTTACACACCCAGACAGATGTCATTGGTTTTAGCTTTTGGACACATTTTGGAGATTATGAATGATAAACAATTAAATTCAAATACATTTTGTTTACAGCAGTTGCCTTGTTTGTCGATTTGCAAATTGACAAACAGTTGCCTTGTTTGTCGATTTGCCAACAACAGATCAGAAAATTAAACAGTTCGAACACAAGAAATCTGTTCATCACTGTCCTTAGACACTCCCACTCATCATCAATGGTTGCCATATATTGTCAATTAAATGTGTTTTCTATAATACACATAATTGATCCACTCTGGGCCGATCTCAAAGGTCCAATTCACGTAAGGCGCTGGAATTTACCTAATCCAAAACCATCGTAAAATACTCCAAGCGTCATGGATGTAAAAGGGGAAGTACACGAAATTTGAGTCCTGGGAGATTGAGGGTTTTTTGGGGTAGTTCATGTTATATGCATTATCTTAAGATTAAGAGATCTTTTTTTTGTCCCACAGTGGGGAAATGTGTTAGATCACAAGTTACAGACATGTAGGAATAAGGAGCACACAGCACAAGATTAATTAATAATCACTCTATACTAAAATACAATAAAATCTCTAACTAAGGAAGCAGTATAATATCTCTATCTTTAGATGTCTTAAAATCCCCAAATTTAGTATGATAAAGAAAGAAAAAAGTAAAAAAATCCATGACTTTAGCATAATAAGGAGCAATTATAAAATGCTAGTGCAATAATATAAAATATTATCGTTTGTAAATAGAAAACATTTAAACAATAAATGGCTTCACTCAACCACTAACAATGAGATTATGAATGCATATCATTCATATTCTCCAAAACATGGTAAAAAATATATAAATAAATAATCAACATTTGTTCCCAGGTGCGTAAACTGAAGGATGGTTCTTTTGTACAGCACCTGAGTTTCGGTGCCTTCCAAGTTGCGTGTGACACAGGCGTGCTTGGGCCGGTGCAGCATGGAGCAGATTTCCTGACCCAGTTTCAAGGCGGCGGCTCGGACCAAGCGCGGAGACTTCCTGCCGATCCAGATGAACACGTCCGACCAACAGTCCAGGATGTACACGCACTTTGTGTCGAGCAGAGACTGGATCTGCAGAAGGGAGTTGAACTGAGAATTTTTTATCTTTGATTTTATCTTTACTCTTGTTTTAATGCATTGTGGCCATTTAGGATTTTAATTCCATGCATGATTTTAGTATTTTAAAGTTTTTAATTACATTTGTGATTTTATTTTTTATGTTTTCAATATTTCTTGTGATATTATTGTGTGTTTTTATTGGCCTGTGGGATCACATAGCGTACATCTTAAACATCAAAACATTCAATTGTGTTGCCTTGTGTAAAAAAGGCGCTCTACAAATAATGGTTGATTGATTGAGATGCAGAGAGATTTGAATCATTACGTTGCTAAAATACTAGTGCAGTTAAATTTTCTATTAAGTGTCATTACAAACGAACGTACCAGCCTCAGCTCTGGTAATGTATCCAGCTTGACTTTGTGGTCCTTGTGTTCTACAGACAGCTTGTAGTTGATCTGAGGCAGCTCCAAGTATCCAAGGCCAAGACCCACCTGCAAATACAAATAAATGAATAATGACGACAACCTTCTCAATACTTATTCATCCTTGCTGTGTGAAGGAGAGGTTCCGCAGGTATTTCTTTCTAGCTGCTGTCAGACTGTACGATGAGAACTGCACAGTCTGTACATGTGCCATTCACCTGTCGTGATAACACTAATATACACATAAAACTATTTTTCAGAAATAAAAAACTGGAAATTGGCATGTGCATATGTATTCACCCCCTTTGTTATGAAGCTCATAAAAAGCTCTGGTGCAACCAATTACCTTCAGAAATCACATAATTAGGGAAATGATGTCTACCTGTGTGCAATCTAAGTGTCACATGGTCAGTACATATACACACCTTTTTTGAAAGGCCTCCACAAAAAAGGCTGCAACACCTAAGCAAGAGGCACCACTAACCAAACACTGCCATGAAGACCAAGGAACTCTCCAAACAAGTAAGTGACAGTGTTGTTGAGCAGTACAAGTCAGGGTTAGGTTATAATATGTAGGGTGAGAAAATGTCAATATCACACATAACTTAAGTTATGTACCTGATATCGGAGAATTGGATAAAAACAACCATGTAATAAATACAATAATTGATAATAGCTTTATTTAGGGGCACCAGGGAATAACTCCCAACTGATAACGTGCATATGACGTCACAATATCAATTAATTGGCTCATTTATTGATTCAGTAATATCATGAGTCCTTTCATTATTTAATTAGCTAGTTAGTCCAATTCTCTTCAATAGAATCTGAAGGTAGTGAATTCTTTTTCAAATCAGTGACCCAGTTTCTGGAGTAAAAGTACAAATATCACTTTCAGACAAAGATGGTTTTGTAGATTTAATGAAGTATACACAATACAGACTAGATATGAAATATGCAAATTGTCAAGAATAACATGAAGGAAACGTTGATTTCAAGATACATTGTTAAAATGCTAGGCTAAGGTGAGCTAAGCAAGGCCTTTGTCTATGAATGGATTGGTATAGGCTGAGGCCTGCATGTGTTCAGCCTTGGTAAGAGAAGTATTCTTTGAAGTGTAAGTTTTAATAAAGCCAACAACTGTGTTTAGCAAGAGAGCAGATCATACAACCAGAATAGCAGTCCTTGGGTCTTGATGGTGTTGGATGGAGGCTTCTTGTCCACGGGGCCTGGACCATGCGGCTGCATCATGTGGTCCTCCCACGATCCACAGTCTAGGTGCCAAAACTCAGCAACTTCTTCAGGTTGAAGCTGGAGGCTATTGAAGGGTTGTGGAAGTCCTCTCAAACGTGGAGCTGAGGTTTGAGGCCATCTAAGAGGCCCAAGGCCCCTTGGTTGCCTGAGCAGGGCCCAGGGCAGAGCCCAGGGAGGTCTGGTCACTCTGTGGTTCCAAAGCAGACTGGTTTGTCTTCCCTGTGGGTCCTTGTAAGTCTTCACATCTTGTAGAGTCGTTGGGGGAAGGGTGTTGCCATGGCACTTATCTTAAGAAATTCTTACCCACAATAAAACCTGAACCACAAGGATTCACACACAGTGGAGACAGAAGTTATAATATGTCTCAATATACAACAAAATGTCTTTGATTGAGGAAAGAGGTCATTTTAATTTCTCCTACAAAAAAAATATCCAAATCTTTGATGATCTCCAGGAGCAACATCAAATCTATCATAACCAAATGGAAAGAACATGGCACAACAGCAAACCAGCCAAGAGACGGCCGCCCACCAAAACTCACGGACCGGGTAAGGAGGGCATTAATCAGAGAGGCAGCACAGAGACCTAAGGTAACCCTGGAGGAGCTGCAGAGTTCCACAGGAGAGACTGGAGTATCTGTACATAGGACGACAATAAGCCGTACGCTCCATAGAGTTGGGCTTTATGGCAGTGGCCAGAAGAAAGCCATTACTTTCAGCAAAAAACAAAATGGCACTTTTTGAGTTTGCGAAAAGGCATGTGGGAGACTCCCAAAATGTATGGCGGAAAGGTGCTCTGGTCTGATGAGACTAAAATTGAACTTTTCGGCCATCAAGGAAACTGCTATGTCTGGCGCAAACCCAACACATCACATCACCCAAAGAACACCATCCCCATAGTGAAACATGGTGGTGGCAGCATCATGCTGTGGGGATGTTTTTCAGCAGCCGGGACTGGGAAACTGGTCAGAGTTGAGGGAAAGATGGATGGTGCTAAATACAGCACAATATACAATACAATATTCTTGTGCAAAACCTGTACCACTCTGTGCGTGATTCGAGGCTAGGACAGAGGTTCACCTTCCAGCAGGACAATGACCCCAAACACACTGCTAAAGCAACACTTCAGTGGTTTAAGGGGAAACATGTAAATGTGTTGGAATGGCCTAGTCAAAGCCCAGACCTCAATCCAATAGAAAATTTGTGGTCAGACTTAAAGATAGCTGTTCACAAGCGCAAACCATCCAACTTGAAGGAGCTGGAGCAGTTTTGCAAGGAGGAATGGGCAAACATAACAGTGGTAAGATGTGGCAAGCTCATAGAGACTTATCCAAACCGACTTGGAGCTGTGATTGCCGCCAAAGGTGGCTCTACAAAGTATTGACTTTAGGGGGGTGAATAGTTATGCACATTGACCTTTTCTGTTACAGTATTTTGTCCTATTTGTTGTTTGAAGATGTTGTCTTTTTTATTGTTGTGGGCATGTTCTGTAAATTAACTGATGCAAATCCTCAAATAATCCATGTTAATTCCAGGTTGTGAGGCAACAAAACACACAAAATGCCAATACTTTTGCAAGGCACTGTATGTGCAACATTCATATAAAAAAAATGCACGATCATTTTGATATATTTATGTATGCATTTCTTGTATGCGCACTGTGACGAATCTGCTGCGACGAATCCGTGACTTAGTGCTGCCTCACCCTAGAGTGGAGCACGCGGAGAAACAAAACAAGCGGATGATGAAGAGACAAATGTAGACAAATGCAGAGAGGAACATGTTCCCAAAAGACACTACCTCCGGAATATGGGACTACTTCGGATTTACAAGACAGGACCAGACACAGAAAAATAGTCGCTACGTCAAAGGGAAACATGGCAAATCTCCCGAGCTACCTCCAGCACTGTCACCACAAGGTACATTATGCTGTGTATTTACAATAATAAAACTCCACAGCCTACTCCGGTCAAACGAAAGGCAAATGTGAAAACGAGCATTAGTGACAGTTTTCCTTCTGTTGCTCCTTATGAGAAAACTTTGAAGCGACACAAAGCTTTAACTGCAGCAATTACGCGATATATAGCAAAGTGCACACTCACTTGAACGACAAAAAATATTGCTATGATATTGTTATCGAAATACTAAAAACCCAGAACAAATATCGCTCTAATTTCCAATATCGTTCAGTCTTAATATAAACGGCTAAATATGAACTGCTGAAGTACAAACAAATATAAACGTTTGTAAATAAATCCTGATCCTGCTAGCTAGTGTATACTATGGAAGCCCGTTTCCGCCATGTAAAAAAAATAATAATTGAGTTTTAAAGTCGTAATTATGAGTTTAAAACTCAATTTTTTGTGTTTAAAACTCAAAATTATGAGTTTTGAACTGCGCATGTGCAGTTGCTGCCCGGTATGTGTCTGGAACGGTGTCTGGACATCCTTAACCTGCAGGTTATGTGAAGATATTGCCTACAGACAATGACCACTGCATCCATGAAGTAGCAATAATGTTGTGGCACAATATTAAACCTTTTGGAAACGTGAGCGCGCTCTGGAGTGAGTCAATGCACTGATCGCAATTCCAAAAGGTTTAATATTGTCACGGCCCGCGACTGTGGTTCTCCTGCCTCTGTCTGTGGACCTCCCTCACTGTCCTGTAATCGCGAACGATCTCTGTCAGTCACAATAATATTCACTGCATTTGTGGTGCATCCATCGATAGCCACCAGTTGATGCTCAATGAAAGACCACTTCAGCGTTCAACTAAATAAATAAACTAATAATAATAACCGCATGGGTTTTATTATTAAGCTTCCACAGTTCGTTCAGGATAAATTAAAATGGAGGCTCCTTGAGCAGATTCTAATCATAAACGGAGAGACGTTCACATTTTAACGCAATTACTGCCACAACATTATTGCTGGCTACTTCATGGATGGATGCATACTTGTGGTCACTGTAGGCATATCTTCAACATAACCTGCAGGTAAAGGGTGTCCAGACACCGTTCCAGACAACAACTCATACGGGGCAGCAACTGCACATGCGCAGTTTAAACACGAAATTTTGAGTTTTAAACTTATAATTACGACTTTTAAACTAAAAATTATGACTTTCTGTAGGCATTTTTTTATTTTACATGGCGGAAACTGGCTTCCATAGTATACTCTACCACACTGCAAAAAAAGGTAATAAATGCATTAATCAAAGGTTTTTATCTTATTTTTAGTACATTTTGACTGTCTTAAAACAGTATTTTCCATTGGAACAAGCCGTGTATGCCTTATTTCATGTGCTGTGGCAATATATTTCTCATTCCAAGGAAGACATTTCTTAAATTTTCTTTTCTCTTTTTAAAACAAGACATGTTTTGCTTGTCCCAAAACTTTATTAGACAGTCAAAATGTGTTTTTATCTTAATTTGAGCACTTCAGCATTCATTACCGTATTTAAAATTTTTTTGCAGAGTAGTGACTTATCCTTGAACCAAGTGCAATTATAGCTGCAATTTTCTTTTATCTTCTTATTTTATTGTATGATCTATTATTTTAAATAATAGATGCTGTTTGATGTTTGAAACCTGAGTGCTCTTTTTTTCTGCTGTAATATGAGCAACAATGACATAGAAATTTTCCCACTGTGGGACAAATAAAGGTTTATCTTAATAAAAAGGACCAGGATAATAGTAAATTACCTTGTACAGTTTGGGCCTCATGGGAGAGAAATTGTCGGTTACGTGCCTCTTGATCTCCTCGGGCTGCCCTCCCATCACCTCCCAGAAAGTGGGAGGCTCCTGGTTCTGCATCAAAGTTGTGATCTCTGCTTTACCCTTGCGCTCATTTTTATTAATCTTCTCTGCAAACAACCTGTGGGCCGAACGCAGGGGATTTAGATGGAGAGTTGCGATAATGGATATGTAATGGAAACTCTAGGGTGGAAAGAATGCGAATGTCCGATGGCTGATTTGAGACTTGCCTTGCTTTTGTGGTGCCGCTAAGTGTAGCATTGGCTCCTCTCCAGATGAAAATCTCAGGCCCAGTGTCCAACAAGAACACGAAACTGTAATGGCAGAAAAATGAGAAAATCACTTTAGAATATCTTAGTCTTTATTTTTTGCAAATTTTTTTCATGGTAATGCAAAATTCCACAACAATTCAGTGGGTAATTACAGCAAACAAACAAAATCTAATAAACTCCTACCCTATTTTTATTTAAAGAAATTTACAAATTAGACGGCCTAACCAGGACCAGAAATAAAAAAATATGCATCAGGGCTCGACATTAACGGTTTTCTGCGTGCCCGGTGCAACTAAAGATTTGGTACGCTCTCTTAGCAAGTTGCCCGTTCAGGCAAGTGATGTACTACTTTAACTCTAACCCAATCACCAATCAACCACCCGGGATCGCATTCCCGCATATCTTCCTCTGGAGCTGGGAGCGGACACATCCGTTTATATTTTTTTGACCAATTCTCTTCATTGGTCAATTTTCTGGACCAATGAAATGCATCAGGATATACCGTGGATGAAAAATGTACTTTCTTATGCTAAAAATGTCATTTCTGTGAAATGTGTGACCACAAGCCATTTCATTTTGCTGTACGTATTCCAGCAGGATTCAAATCCTCCATTCTGACCCCAGGAGAAACTGTGGCCGCTTTGTAATGACAGCCACTTAGACAACAGCTCAGCAAACGCACAGCCGCTATGTTGGACCATAGAGCGGACCATAGACGCACGTTCAGGACCATCCCCAGCTTGTTGCAAGTGCGGGTCTCCCCCGTGTGGGAAGAGCTACCAGAACTCACAAAATTAAAGCTGGGGTAACAAATTTTTTCCTTGCAATAACAATGCATGTTGGTTGTGCACAAAAGTAAAATGTTGTGAACATGTTGCTGTCTGTTCACAACAAACATTGCGAGCAACGCTCTGCTCCCTAACATTGCTGCACACAACAAAACATTGTGAGCAACGCACTGCTCCCTAGCTCTGGAACACTCTTCCCCCCTGACCTCCGTAACACTGACTCTCTTCAAATCAACCCTCAAAACTCATCTGTTTAGACAAGCCTACTCACCAACATCATAACCATACTCTCCTCTGTCACGGATGCTTTTAACTTTGTATATTAACTGTTTTTTGTTGTTGTTTTTTTTTAAATGCACTTTATTACTTGTATGTAAGGCAGCCATTAGTGTCAAGAAAGGCGCTTAAGAAATAATATGTATTATTACTTGCCCGAAGGGCAGACAAAGCTCAAAGTGATAGTCTGGAACTCCAAATGAATTATCCATTTTAAGAATGTGTAATTCACATTGTACAATAGTACAAATTGACCACCTGGCTTTAAATGTTGATATAAAATAAGTAATTTAATGAATTATAATATTATGGGTAAGTCCCGCCTTCCCTTATCTTTTGAGCTTATCCTATGAGCTTATCCTATAGCTCAAAACCCACAATGCCGTCCACTTTAACCAACCAGTGAATATTAGACGGCCCTTAACCCTTTAAGCGCCAAAGTCAAGCAACATTGCTCACTTAAACAGGCTGTATCTAGAAATGTGGTGCAGAATCTTGTTAATACTTGTCACCAGGGGTTAGTGGACATGTATGCCTGTAATATGAGCAGCATTTGTGGGTGTGGTTATATTGAAAGTTTTTGAGTAAATTGAGTTTGTAAAACGGAAGTAACCTGTGAACGCCAAGTAGGGGCCGTGGTGGAGGGGACAGGGGGATCATAACACCGGGCATGTGGGAGAAAGTAGCGGGGGTAGACATCCGCGGGAGACGCAGCGGGAGACGCGGCAGAAGCCGCGGGAAAACAAAAACAAAACACATTGCTAATCGCGTTCACTGCCTTTACCAACGGCGATGATGAGGATGAAGGCAGTTCTTGTGAGAAAATAATCCAAAAAAATGAATCAGATGTGTTGAAGAGCCTGTTGTTTCTTGTTGAGACGATCTGAGATGTTCTGTGCCCATTCATTTAATCTCTGTTTCTAAACAGTAAATCCTGGAGCCTCATTTCCACTGAGAAAAATAGTATGCCCTCCACTTCTTTGAAAGGGAAATATTGAAACCAATCTCCCAGATTTCATGACTGTAAACTATAAAAAGTGCTGTCTTGATCACTGAAGGTATTTGAAAATAATACAATTCCATATGGGCCCATTTATGCTAAAACATGATTTATAATCTGGATCAGGGAATTTATTTCTATCCCAAAATCATTTCATACTAAAGATATTTCACATTGACTGTTGATAGTATTACCTGATCTAAAAAAACTCTCAAGCTACAGCTTTTAGAAATCTTTATACAATCATTTACGTTTTCCAATATGGCCGCCACCTTAATGACGTCACAATATGCAAATTAGATGACGAATCAACTTTCATCCCAAAGTTTGGTTCAAACTGAAGATTTTTGTAATTTACAGTATGCCTTTATCTCAAACCATTTTAAAGTTATAGCCTTTTGAAATCTTGAAATCCAAATTGTATATTTTCTTGAAAAAACTCCGGCGCCTAAAGGGTTAATATTCCAAGCTGTAATGGGCATTATCTTTTTAAAAATGATATAAATAAAATAGTTAGTTCCCAAAGGGTTTGGTGACTTGGCCAGACGGGTAACAGCTAGGCTAGCTAACTAACTAGAACTCTCTGGAACTACATGAAAAGTGAACAAAGAATTCTCAGTGGTGAGTGACCCAAATAAAAACTTAACCTAAATCCATAATCAGATCTTCTGTAAATGTGTCCCACTAATGTTAGTAGTTACTTCCGGGTTTAACGCGATCGCATTTTATCAAATCATGTACCTCTTCCTCCTTTTTCTGGAAAACTCCAGACTCACTTTAATGTCAAGGCCTGGAAGAATGGATGTGATATAGATGAATGAGAGTTACCGTGGATCGAGCGAGGACCCCTTTGCAGGGACAGACTCCAATTTGATGTTTTTCTTGCCATAAACACGATACAATCTAAAAAGATAAATAAAATAAAGGCCAGGTTAGACAAAGTGCAGTGCAAATGTACAATGTTTTGTCAGCATTTATCGCTAAGAACTCTCACCTGACTTGATAATGCGTATCCTCCACAGTGAAGAATCCGCTCGCCGTTCCTCCCTCGATGTACGAGATCTCGTTATTAAACACCTGCAAAAGTGAAGAAGGGGCTTAACTCTACATGCGACATCATTTCTTTGTTCGCATTTGTTTGTACGTACAGCGCTGAACTCCTCGCTTTCGTCTCCCATCTCTTCCCTTATTGTTCTGCATTCTGCTCCGAGAAAGTTTCTCAAGTTGACAGCGTGTATGGCGGCACCGGCCTTTTTGTCCAGAGTGGCTTCCTGACCTATCCAGTAATAGATGTTCCAGTTCAGCGCTCCGTTGTCATCCAGGAAAGTCTAGAAATAGGCATTGCAAGTTTATTGTATAGCACAGTTTATACACAAGCTGGCTCAAAGTACTCAAAACAAGATATAAATAATCAAACAAGATTACAAGCAAACAAGCATTAAAATAAAATATAATCAGAGTACATTAACCTCTTAACATCCGCCTCATTTTGGCTCGTGCAAAATGGTTGGGCATACCCAAATGTCTTTGCTTATTTAAAAACACATCTTACATCTCACATGCTTGTGTGATGCATCATTTTAAAGCTAGAGCCTTCTACTTTATGTAAAAAAACACTAAAATAATGTTTGTCATCCCTATTTTCCTCTGCATCCTTTGAAGTTAGGGAAAAAAACCCAATTTTTTAGCCTCGCCTAACATTTTCAATTTCTAAAGGCCCTAAAAAAGGCATACTTCATTGTAAGTTCACAATATTCAAACCCTCTGTTCATTGTGTTGTTGACAACAACTGTCTAAAGTTTCAGACTTCTAAGTTTTATAGTTTTTATGCAGTTTCTCCTTTTCATCAAGTAGTGCACATTTGGCACAATTTGGCACAAGTGTGCCAAATTGTGCCAAATATCTTTACTTACATTTAATCATCATAAAAACAATATTTTTTTATTATTGGTACTTATAAGTTACTAATCTATGTGTGTTTTTCTTTTTTAAATGTCAAAGTTATTTTTTTATGAGTGTAAATTCATTGCAGCTTCGAGAGCGTCTTTTGGCTTCCATTACGCACAATTGTCCAGGCCCAACATAAGACAGGACACCATTGTCCCACCCCTTGTTCGAAAGCGTTCCTCATTGGCTACAAGGACATGTCAATCGTAAATCCCGGAAGTAAAAGCAAACAAGTTGGGACCCCACAAAAGATCAGTGTTCAATGCGCAAACAGCAGCGCAAGCTGTACTTACGGGACCTCTTGCAGACCCAAAAATTGGTCTAGCTTTTCGGGAGTAGTCTCATTTGAAAGATAAGGAGCTAAGGAACACGTGGATACCAGATGTTTGGGTGAAAAACAAAGCTAAAAGTCCGTTTAAAGTGAAAGAGTAACATCTGTGCTCTTCTTTTTCGTTTTTTTCGCTAAAGATAAATGCACATTTTTGGATTATTTCTGCAGAATGGATTTTACTTTGGGAAATACAAGTGGATATAATTTTCCTTTGGACTGTTCCAGAGAGAATGATGTATTGCAAGCTGGGAGGAGAGCTGATTTATTTGTACAGCACAAGCCCAAAGGTAAAAAACTATTTCGGAATTGATTTATTTTGTGCCCACATTAGGTGTTATATCTTTTGAATGCAAAGTCTGATGTGGTTTACACTTGTATATAAATGTAGATAAGAAAATAAGCTTTAAAATGATATACAGCTTTTGGGGTTTGGTGTTCAAAATACATCTGCTATTGCCAGCAGAACATTTAAAAACATAAAAACAGCCGCCGGCGCGCCGGTGTTAGTAAAGAGGTTAAAGAGAGTGCAGATACAATCATTCAGTTTTATGCACAGCTTAACAAAGGTTTTAACCTGAATTTGAACATCGTCACAAACGGTTTCTGATTATAGCTGCATAAATCTGAAGATCTGCCTGCCCATGTTTTTGTCCTGACTCTGGGCGCCAGCAGTCCAGTCTAAACAATATCCAGCTACAAACATAAGACCCAAACCCTCAAACACAGACGACATACTTTGAGCACAATGTAGCAGTCGGCTTCGTAAAATTTGCCATGGAACGTTTCGTCAATCTGTATCGGGATGAAATTCTCAATCTGCCACGCCGATACACCAGGAATCTACAGGAAAACAAGACATTGATAGTACCGGCAATGCAAACAAGGGTTGCCGTTGAACTATAAAAAGCCTCCTACCTGTCCCACATCCTCCAGAAAGAACTCTGAGTAGTCCAATTGTGGCTTCTCCAAACTCTTGTCCCAGCGGCGGATTTTCAAGTCGCCATATTTGGGATCTCCGTTTTCCTCCAGGTTCTTCTTGTCTTGTGCTACATCGCTCATGCCCTTCAGCACCTGTTTGGCTTGATCATCCTGCGAACAGTCTTTTCTCCTCCTCAGCCTCATCTTCCGTGCTAAATGATCTCGGGGACTTGCCCCTGGACAGAATATAGTCAAGATATATCGAATGCCACGTTCATTATCCGCCAACAATCCACATCACAATGAAATGTCTACATTAAAAAGGCAACTTATACAAATTACCCCAATAACCCTAACCCTTCCCTAAAGATAGCATACAACAATACTTTTAAAGACCAACCAAACACCAGTGCCCAGCTTTACTCCGCCCACATGAAAATGCTCTCTAAAATTTCTCAGCGGACCGGGAAGAAGGGGGGCTACTAGAAACGCTACGCTAAAGAACTAACTTACTACTGTGCTAATAAATTGGTAACCTGAAACTAAATAACTCCAGCTCACTATGGGGGTCGTGTGTGAGACTCACAAAGCCGCCAGAGCGAATGGGAAGGCCAGGCACAAAATTCAAATGTAGTGCCGTTGAACATGTAGAGAGGGCGCCACACAGACTGTTTTAGGCTTAAAAAGTGATATTTTATCTCATTTACACTAAAATATCAAGATTTACCAGGGCATGTAGAGAGCACAATAAGAAACCTATTTCTTCAGTTTATGAGTTAAAAAAGTTGATCGGGTGATTAGTTGTCCTTTAAAGTGTAATAATAGAAAAAATATTACCTCCTCCAGCTGCTGCCAAAGTATCAGGTGAAGCCCCGGCCAGAAGGAGCTGGTTCTGCAGTGAGAAGTCGATATTGTACCACTCTGATCCCCGATCCACTGGTTTGGGAGGCATCACTAGATTTGGGTTTTCCCGCACATCAAGGACCTAAAGTAATAATACGCAAAATAATGTTGAAATACAGTGCCTTGCGAAAGTATTCGAACCTTTCAACATTTCGCCACATTTCAGGCTTCAAACATAAAGATATAAAAATTATTTTTTTTGTCAAGAATCAACGACAAGTGGGACACAATCGTGAAGTGGAACAAAATTAATTGGATAATTTAAACTTTTTTAACAAATAAACTGAAAAGTGGGCCGTGCAATATTATTCGGCCCCCTTGCGCTAATACTTTGTAGCGCCACCTTTTGCTGCAATTACAGCTGCAAGTCGCTTGGGGTATGTCTCTATCAGTTTTGCACATCGAGAGACTGGAATTCTTTCCCATTCTTCCTTGCAAAACAGCTCGAGCTCAGTGAGGTTGGATGGAGAGCGTTTGTGAACAGCAGTCTTCAGCTCTTTCCACAGATTCTCGATTGGATTCAGGTCTGGACTTTGACTTGGCCATTCTAACACCTGGATACGTCTATTTGTGAACCATTCCATTGTAGATTTGGCTTTATATGTTTTGGATCATTGTCCTGTTGGAAGATAAATCTCCGTCCCAGTCTCAGGTCTTTTGCAGACTCCAACAGGTTTTCTTCCAGAATGGTCCTGTATTTGGCTCCATCCATCTTCCCATCAATTTTAGCCATCTTCCCTGTCCCTGCTGAAGAAAAACAGGCTCAAACCATGATGCTGCCATCACCATGTTTGACAGTGGGGATGGTGTGTTCAGGGTGATGAGCTGTGTTGCTTTTACGCCAAACATATCGTTTTGTATTGTGGCCAAAAAGTTCAATTTTGGTTTCATCTGACCAGAGCACCTTCTTCCACATGTTTGGTGTGTCTCCCAGGTGGCTTGTGGCAAACTTTAAACGAGACTTTTTATGGATATCGTTGACAAATGGCTTTCTTCTTGCCACTCTTCCATAAAGGCCAGATTTGTGCAGTGCACGACTGATTGTTGTCCTATGGACAGACTCTCCCACCTCAGCTGTAGTTATCTGCAGTTCATCCAGAGTGATCATGGGCCTCTTGTCTGCATCTCTGAGCCGTCTTCTCCTTGTTTGATATGAAAGTTTGGAGGGACGGCCGGGTCTTGGTAGATTTGTAGTGGTCTGATACTCCTTCCATTTCAATATAATAGCTTGCACAGTGCTCCTTGAGATGTTTAAAGCTTGGGAAATCTTTTTGTATCCAAATCCGGCTTTAAACTTCTCCACAACAGTATCTCGGACCTGCCTGGTGTGTTCCTTTGTCTTCATGGTTCTCTCTGCACTTTAAACAGAACCCTGAGACTATCAAAGAGCAGGTGCATTTATATGGAGACTTGATTACACACAGGTGCATTCTATTTATCATCATCAGTCATTTAGGACAACATTGGATCATTCAAAGATCCTCACTGAACTTCTGGAGTGAGTTTGCTGCACTGAAAGTAAAGGGGCCGAATAATATTGCACGCCCCACTTTTCAGTTTTTTATTTGTTAAAAACGTTTAAATTATCCAATAAATTTTGTTCCACTTCAAGATTGTGTCCCACTTGTTGTTAATTCATGACAAAAAATTAAAATGTTATATATTTATGTTTGAAGCCTGAAATGTGGCGAAATGTTGAAAGGGGGCCGAATACTTTCGCAAGGCACTGTATCTAAACAACACAATGCATATGAAGTTAAAGATTGATGTACCTCCAAGTCAGTCAAAAAGTGGATGGCTTCAGGAAGTGTTACCAGGCGGTTTTTGTTAAGAACCAATTTCTTCAGCTTTCCGCATCTGGACAATGCAAATCAGTACAGTTTAGATGTGTCATTATACCATACAAACATACATGTAATTATTATTGTATTGTACTGACCTACAAAGGCCTTCAGGAATTAGCTCCAAGTTATTGTTGGCTGCCATAAACTCAGTGAGACTAGAAAGTTTGCCCACACCAGGTGGAACGCCATCAAAATCCAGTTTGTTTGAGTTGACGTACAGTTTCTTCAGCTTGGACAATTTACAGATGGCTGACTGAACAGAAAAACACTGAACGTCAAACAGGCTTCAAGAATGAATGTATCCGTTTTATTCCAAGTTTTTGTCTAATCTAATGTTTACTGGTTTTGAATGCGCTGGAAAACGGCAGCAAATCCTAAGTAGCTCTGAAACAGTTGTTGTTTTGTACTTTACAATTAGTCTTTTTCTTGCTTTTTTTCTGCCTGTGATGTTGCTGCAGTACAGTGTTCATGGTTTTACACTGGTCCAGACCGGCGCGAAGAGGATTCATGGTCCGAATCAAGAGGATCAGGTAAAAATACACTGGAGGAATGCTAACTTTTTGAAAAATGCTAATAAGCATTTCACATTTTACTATGGACTAGAGCAGAGAAAATGGTACGAACCAAGCTGCTACTCCACCTTTTGACCTGTACTGCCCCACCCAGAGGCTACTCCACCTCTGTTTCTGTGACCCACCCTGCTCCACCCAGTGGCTACTCCACCTCTGCTGCTCTGACCCGTCCTGCTCCACCGAGAGGCTACTCCATCTCTGCTGCTCTGACCCGTCCTGCCCCACCCAGAGGCTACTCCACCTCTGCTGCTCTGTCCCCGTCCTGCTCCACCTCTGCTGCTGTAACTTGAAGGGCTGTTGCGGATTATTACTATTGTTATCTTTTTAGAATGATCAATTTTATTTTTGCTGCTTTCTCCTTTCTTTCTCCTACGGGGATCAATAAAGTATCTATCTAATCCAAAGCAAAAGCACTTACAGGCAAAGAGGTGAGCTGATTGCGACTCAGGTTGAGTGTTTCTAACTGGATCCACTGGTCGATGCAAAGGGAGAGCTCAGAAATCTGGTTGCTACTCAAGTTTAGTCTCTTTAAACTGCTCAGAGAGTACAGGCACTCAGGCACCCGGGTCAGGTCATTACAGGACAGGTCAACATCTGAGGAAAACAGAGGGAAGAGGGAAGAGCGAAATGTTCAGAACGCAAGCAGTAGCCATAGAAAGATGTAACAGGCCCCAAATTCAACAGAACTGATACTGTGTTTAATATTTTTAGAGCGTTGGTAAGTTGATATTTTATTGTTATACATACACTTTAAACAACTGTTGAATATCAGAAGGTCTCTTGACAACTAGGTGTAGTGGTTCAATTCAATTTATTTTTGTACAGCTCTAAATTACAGTGAAAGGACTTTATAAAGTTGTCAATTCACCAATAAGATTGGAGAATCAAACAGTTCGAACACAGGGAATGCAATAAAAACAAACATATAGGAGCCTCTCAGAAGACCAATAAAACTGGCTGGGATCATGAGGTCTATAATATTGGATATATTTTGGGGACGTTTTGGTCAATGAATCCAATACTATGCTGCTATGCCAACATTGAATAACTTTTAACATCCTGAATAAAAAGTAACTAATGGAAAAATAAACCTGAGGACAAGACACTCTTCTTCTTCCAAATGACTTTTCAAGAGACTCTTAACCAAGCTATAGTATCTGCCAGAGCAATATATGGCATACATTAGTGCATTAACAGAAACTCATCAAACATACTCATCACCTGCTAAAAGGGTCAGGGCCTCCAAGCTGGTGGGCATGTTGCTCTGAGTCCTCTGGGTGTTCCGCAGGTGCAGAGTCTGTAGTGCCACCATGGCTGGTAGCTGTCTGCTCGCATATGCACACCGTCACTCTCAATACTCATTACAGCCTAAAACATGTGCAGAGAAGGTCATACCGCAGCTGAGCGTGCATCAGGGGGTTGTTGTTCAGGATGAGGGTCTGCAGATGCACCAGGCGTCTCATCTGAGGAGGCAGGCTGTCCAGCTTGTTGTCGCTCAGGTCCAGATAGAGCAAGTCCGTCAGGTTGATAAACAGCTGATTGGGAATAGAGTCAATGCCGTTGTGACTTAGATTGAGCACAAGCATGTTCCTGCTGTTCTCCAGGTCTCGGGGGATCTCCGTCAGCTGATTAAAGCTCAGATCCTTGAAATACACAGATGTGTTGTAAATGCAAATTAAATATGAGGATGATAGATTACAGGAGTGTTTACATACTAGCACAGACAGGTCATCAAGCTGAAAGATGTCATCCGGGACACCTGAGTTTTTTAAGTTGTTAGCTCGGGCCACCACAGCCTGTAATAACATGAAAGATGAAAGAAATCAAGAAAACGGGTTGCACAAACTATTTTAACATTTAAAATGGAGAACAATTATAAAACACAAATTACTTGTATCCATGTTATAATAATATAATTGTTTTCTCTTTTCATTTATGTTATGATGCAAGACTCTTTGGCCATACTTTTAAACTGAATGTCCGCAAACTTTGTTAATTTTTCAAATACATTCAGATTACAATACAATACGAAATGTAACATTTTATCAGATATCATACATTATAAATGTTTGCCATGTCTTCCATAGCTGAACCACTTACCCTTAAGTTTGGCAAGCCAGAGAGTTCCCCATGTAACGTGGTGAGGCTGTTGTGACTTACTGAAAGGTGCTCCTAATGATGAAGAGACAAACTCAGCATAATTGTTGACATTGACATTTTTAAGGTAATTTAACAAAGCTGTGTGGAAATGGGAACATTTAGACGACGACAGACAACAGGCAACAAATATTAAAGTTTATAACACTGATATTCTTTCAAGTTAATCCTATCACCCGGTTAAACATTGGTAGAATAAATATTTTTCTCAACCCACTCAACAACACTCCCTCTGACAACAGCTCACCACACACGTACCAGCTTCTGCAGAGAGGCCAGCTCTTCTGGGAGGTAACACAGTCCTGTTCTGTTGAGCTTCAGCCATCGTAGGCTGCTCATACTCTTGACATGTTCAGGAAAATAACCACCCTAAAAGGCAAATATGATACATTACAGTTCACTATCAGTATGGAAAAACAAAATAAATAACTTCATTGACTGTTATTCAAATGGCTTACCACGTTATATTATTTTGACCAAAAGGTTTTCATAAACTTTTCATTATAAACAGAATATTTAGCATAAGAAAATAATCATGGTATCAGATTGAGGTTGATAGAAAAAGTATCAATGTTTCCGATAAAAAAGTAACGCCGTTTCTTTCCATTGTTAAAGGTGGGACATGATGTCATACAGAACATTGAACACACCCAAATGTCATTGTAGCTTTAACCATACACACTAATGTGACAAGTAAGAACACGGCTAAAAGTACAAACAGAGATAACGAAACATGATGAGACCAAATAAAATGTATTAGCGTTACAGCTAACGTTGATGTCTGCTTTAACGTTATTATTTATCATAATAAAGCTAGCATTAGCTTAAGCTTAAGCTAACCTGATAGGTCGAACAGTTGAACAAGTCAAGCCACAACTCACTTCTAAGACAAAATGTTCACTACACGATTCAACAATTCAATAATTTAACATCACAGAGACTTCACAAAGGACTTGACAGCTCCGCTCAAAATTCTATCCTAACTAGCTAACGCCCATTGCTAATCGTGAGCTAAGCTACCTAATTTTAGCTTGGTTATGTAGTATTATTTATTTATGATTCACTACAAGCTCTGTGTTATAAAGAAATCAATGTACAATAATAATAACATAAAGGATTACCTTAAAGTCATTACCACTCAGGTCTACCCCCCTGATAAAGGGAAGGACTCCGGTGGCAGCCATTTCTCCAACAAAGCGTCAGCTGCTTGGTCTATTTTGGTCCAGAAGCTACACAAGCGGCGTACGGAGGACACACGCACAGCCGCCAGACACTACTTCTTTAAGCTACTTTGAGCTCTTGTTTAGCTCACGTCGTTAGCTATGACGGCTATCCGAGCATCCCCATCTTCCGCTTGGGGCTGGTGAAAAGCAGGAAAGAGAAAAAATTTAAACTCTTCAAAATAAAGTTAATTTTCAAGGTGCGTAGGGCGTTTGCCACACGTTGGCGACTAGTTTAGTGTATTGTTTTGAAGGATCCAAACAGGAAAAGCCCTTTGTTTTTTGTGAGATTTGAGCAGTCAGCTGTCGGCTGCCACCCAGTCAGCTAACCTCACATAAATCCGCTATTTATTAGTTATTACACAGAATGGATAAAACTCCGACAAGATACAATGTTCAGTTATATATTTATGATTTATCAAGGGGAATGGCTCGTAGTTTGAGTCCCATCATGTTAGGTGAGTCACAAATCCTTCCGATACTGTCGCATCGAAGATGATAACAACTCGGCTCCATGACCTCATCAAGGAACCGTTTGATAATAGACCCACGGGTGTTGCATACAAGCTACATATGTTACATTAGGTATAATTATACATTTACAAACATGACAAGTTACTCGATTTTGCCTTATTATTATCATTATTATTATTAGTAGTAGTAGTAGTAGAAGTAGTTGTAGTGCAGACCTATGTTAACATTTATTTCCTCCATCCATCCATCCATCTTCTTCCCCTTAATCCATTTCTGGGTCAGGGGGTGGCAGTCATAGCTGCACCCAGTACATAGAGCACGAACCCCTCACTGACCCTCCTGCAGGTGGTGAGTCCACAGGAGCCTTTATTATTCAGCAGGGGCTTCAGGCAAAGTGGGGTTAAGTGCCATGCCCAAGGACCCAACAACAGCAGTCATCAGTGGTAGTCGTGAAGTAGGTCTTGTGGCTGAACCCACTACTCTACCAACTGAACCACTGTCGCCCCATTTATTATAGACTCAAATTAATTTAATTATTGTTGAATTGTTTATTTGTTTTTACAAATGTGTTTATATTTTAGGAAAACAACTCGATGGTATATGGTAAGTATGGATTTTATTCACCTAAATCATTTTTGTTGTTGCCCACAGTGAGACGATAGACTGTTGAGACAAGAGTTTCAATATACTTGACTGGATTTTGACTTGTTTTGTCTTACAGGCACACAGCCATAGTGGCATATGGTGATGAATTTTTCTTTGGTGGAGAGGGAATTTCCAGTTGTTCACCGGTAAGGATAGGATTACAAAAGTGTGTGTTATATTTTGATATTAAGGCTAATGGAAATTTTCATTATACAATTTTATTTGTACCACAATTTAACCATAACGCACACAATATTCTACTACTTTTTTTTTTAAACTCTAAAATCACCACCCCCTTCCATGTATCTTCCAAGGAATCTCCCAAGGAATTAGACATTACAAATTCTCTGCTGAATATTTAACTATATTCACTATTATAAATGCGTACTCTGAGCACAATTATATGAAAATATATTTTTGTATGGACATGTACAGTAACTGCATTCTATCTAAGGCTAGCTCACCATTATCGGCCAAAAAGAAGAAGCTCTTTGTGGCTAAAAACTAGCTATCTGAGGAAAAATGGTTGGAGACCCTTGAAATTATCTTTTAAATACAGTTGCTGTTTGATCATGATTCTAAAATTTGTACAGAACAATAACTATGTGTCTTTTTTTGGCACAGGGTGGGACCATGTTGGGTCATCCGGACACCGTTGTGGAGCTTGGAGAAACAGAAGTGTCTGAGGAAATTTTTATGGATTATCTTTCCTCATTGGGAGAAGGCACATACAGGTGTTCAGTTATTCTTTTACCAAATGAATGTTCGCTTGTTATTATGAGTTGTCTTAATGTGTTTTAGAGGGGATAAATATCGCCTTTTTGAGCACAACTGCAACACTTTTACAAATGAAGTATCCCAGTTCCTAACAGGCAGTACAATACCCTCCTACATCACTGACCTCCCATCAGAAGTTCTTTCTACGTGAGTATAGACTGACTATATACTGTTCAATAAGAGCTTGTACAATATTGTTATTACCCTCACAGTACTCCAGTGAACAGATTAGCCTTACATAGATAGCTAGATAGATAGATACTGTATATACTTTATTGATCCAAAAAGGAAATTGTGCAATGGTCCCTTGCTGCAATCATACAAACATACAGACATAGGATAGATTTAAAAAATACAAAACAGTTAAAAAAGACAATAAAATACAATACAATCATTAAAAGAGAAGTTAAGGCACTGCAAGACAATTCTAAAGACCCCTCCCTCTCTCCTCCCCCCCTGCTCCTCCCTGAAGTGGCTTTGTTATAGAGTTTTTGAGCCTGTCCCTGGAGCACCTCAGAGAGAGGAGTCTGGAGCTCATGGTGGTTCTCTGGCGGGAAAAATATGAATTTAGGTTGGACAAGATTGACCTGATCTTGGAGAGCGTCCTTTGCTCCACCACCTCCTCCACTGAATCCAGACCCAGACCCACCACCGAGCCCGCCCCTCTAATGAGCCGGTTCAGCCTCTCAGTGTCCCTCTTTCTTGCACTGCCCCCCCAACAGACAACAGCATAAAAAAGGACACTGGACACTACAGACTGAAAAAACATGTAGAGTAGCTTATCACAGACCCTGAAAGATGCCAAACGCCTCAAAAAGTACATCCTACTCTGCCCCTTCTTGTACACAGCGTCCATGTTGGCTGCCCAGCTCAGCTTGTTGTCAAACTGCAGCCCCAGGTACTTATAGGTGGAAACCACTTCCACCACAGTCCCGTCGATATTAATGGGCCGCAGATAGGGTGGTGCCCGGCGAAAGTCCAGCACCACCTCCTTTGTTTTGGCTGAGTTAAGCAGAAGCTTGTTCCGCTGACTCCACTCCACAAAGTTCTCAACCAAGTCTCTATTCTCCCCCTCATTACCCCCCCTGACGCATGCCACGATTGCAGTGTCGTCAGAGAACTTCTGCATGTGGCATGTCTCAGAGTTGTAGCAGAAGTCAGCAGTGTAGAGGGTGAAGAGGAGGGGCGAGAGCACAGTGCCCTGCGGTGCACCAGTGCTACAGGTCAATGTTGAGGACCTACAGCCCCCCCGTCGAACGTACTGGGGCCTGTCGGTTAAATAATCCGTGACCCAACGAACAAGAAGAGGGTCCACATCGATGATGGTGATCTTCTCCTGGAGAAGGATGGGATGGATAGTATTAAAAGCACTGGAGAAGTCAAAGAAAAGCATTCTCACAATGTACCCTCCCACATCCAGGTATGTGAGGGCACGATGTAGCAGGTAGAGGACTGTATTCCCGACCCCCACCTTCTCCTGGTAGACAAACTGAAGAGGATCCCTCGTCGTCTCCACTTGGGGCTGCAGGACCAGTTGCTCAAAAGTTTTCATCACATGTGATGTACTGTAAGAGCGACTGGCCTATAGTCATTTAGCACCAGAGGGCGTCCCTTCTTGGGGACCGGGACGATGCAAGAAGTCTTCCATAGAGAAGGGACTCTCACGCGCCGCAGACTTAGGTTGAAGACCTGCTGTAGAGGGTCTCCCAGCTCCTCAGCGCACGTTCTCAGAAACCTAGGACAGACCCTGTCAGGACCAGCAGCCTTCCTTGGGTGTATGAGTTGCAGCTGCCCCGTCTGCAGCTGCCATAAAACACTCAATGTCCCTCATTTATGAAAATTGCGTATGGCCAAATCAGGGAGTAAATAAGGCGTACGCAAAAAAATGACACTTTTTGGCATTTATCTATCTGAACGTGGGTGTACGGTACGCACAAAATATACACCGAGTCAGTAGGTGGTGTAAATTTTACACCCATCTCAACCTTCATCACAACACGCCAAAGCACGCATGAAATTCAAGATTTGGACAACATAGTCCCACTCTGGCAAAATTATAAGCTGCATTTTCATTGAGCATCACATTTCAAAATTTGAATTTGCGCATCAGAAAAACTCTAATGGGAACATGCAAACTTTGAATAAATCACAGTTCATGATGAGGTCCGTCTTCTGTTTCTTAGTTTTTTGTATGTGTATTATTTTCATCTCTATGTTTTTTTAAATGTGAAGCCCTTTGTGATCCTGGTCTGTGAAAGGCGCTATACAAATACACTTGACTTACTTTCTAACTTAAGCAACAGGGATGTGTGACCCATCTATTGCTTTCTAAATCTGTGGCAGGCCCTGCGCTGCGTAATAACCAGTGGGGGCGGGTCGCGGCTCAAAAGTGGCCAAAATGATGTGCACTTACATGCTTGCCATACCACCCCGGGCCGATGGGGGTTGACCCGGAATAAGAATTAGCCAATGCTAACATATAGCATTGGCAGACCTCTCGAAAACGTCTTTACAGGATGGTCCAAAAGTTGGCTCTTGGCCCAAAGCTCCGTTCCACATGTGTGACAATGCTGAGGGGAGTGAATTTTTTTGGTTTACTTGTTGTGAATTTTTGAAGTCTCTCGTTCAAATGAATGGAGCTTGCGCCGGGTGACGCATGCACAGATGCGTTTTTTCACAATTTTCTTGTGGGCGGGACCACTTGCGGCCATTTTGGATAGCTCCAGTAGAGCACATTTTTTGGCCCATTAGTTAGAACGGCGGAGATAGGCGTGACTACGTCCATACATTTTTACAGTCTATGGTAATTACGCATGGCTATTTGTTTTGCCTCATTCACCTCTGGCGCACCTCATTCACTCCTCAAATGTGGTGCGCGTCATTCAGACGTTTTGGATCCAGAGTTCCTCTGTGAAATCACAGACACTTCCCTAGAGCTTCTCATATGCATCCTTTCTCAAATGCACAGCGCTCCATTGCATTCACAAGAAGAATGAGGCTTCACCCGGTTAACGCTGAGGCCAAGATATAAATATTCATTAATTCAGTGTTTCTCAACCACTGTAGTGTGCCGTATGATATTGTCTGGTGTCCCGTGAGAAATTCGCGTACTTTGTCTAAAAATAACTGGCAAGTGGCAAGTGCTGACTTGTTTTGAACTGTGGAGTAACCACGTAAAACTTTTTCAATCAGTAGGTGGCAGCAGATAGCTAAGTACTTGAAACGCAACCACCAAATGTAACAAGTAGCAGGATTATGTGGCGAGAAATGTAAAGCCTAGTGTATAGTCGCGCGGCGCGGAGTTTACGTGAGATTACAGAAAGTAATCACACACGGACCAATCACAGTGGAGCTTCTCTGCGGCGCCGCGACCAACAAATGTAACAGGTAGCTGGGAGAATATTGGTGAGTGAGAAGTGAAAATGATTGAGATGTTTTTGAAAAGGAATTATGCCATTTCTGAACAGGATTCACATCCTCCACTCTGACCCTGGGGCAGCTGTGGCCGCTTTGTACTGACAGCCGGTTTGACAACAGCTCAGCAAACGCACATCCGTGGTACTGAGTGCGGACTTTAGACGCATGGACCTTGTATGCGCAGACAGAACCTTGTATGCGCAGACAGAACCTTGTACGCGCAGACAGAACCATGGACTCGTGGACCGAACCATGGACGCGCAGACATAATCATAGAATTATGTTCAGGACCATCTACCGTGTCTCTTGCCGAAACACAACCAAAACTCCTGAATTTAAAGTTCGGATACCTACATTTTCCCCGAGCATTAAAAATGCATTATTATTGCGTTATTTGTGCACAAAAGTAAAATGTTGTTGACAAATTTTTTGCGCAGCCCTCGCCGTTAAAGTGTGAAATACCGGAGTGACAGAGGAATAACTTTCCGCAGAGACATCGGTTCAGTTTGACTTCAAGCATTCACACAGGTGTATGAGCAGAGAGCCATTTATTAACATTGCGCACCGGTGTGTAGCCACACCCACACAGAAAGTAGGTCACTAGGTCAATTGAGGACATACTTTCAACACAAATCAAACAGAACACACTGCAGGCCTTTTTATTTTATTTATTTTTTTCACACGTAAGAGCCCTCTGAGTCATTATTTCACTTTTTGGGCATAGAGTGGATTTTTTAAATGTTTTTTTCCCTACAGTTAGTACCACTTTATTCCTAAACTCTTGTCAACTCTTTGTATTGAGAAATATTAAACAAAGCTTAATGTCAAGGCCTGGATTTAAGCACTTTGATTAGAATGACTTTGTATTGTGAATATGCTACAGAGTATATTTTTTGCATTTCCTCCTGGTGGTGTGTCGCGAGATTTTTTCAATGAAAAAAGTGTGCCTTGGTTCCAAAAAGGTTGAAAACCACTGCATTAATTCATTCATTCATTCATTCAATCATTCACTTCTAAAGTTCAAGAGAGATGAGTGCTGCAGTGGGTCTAGACCAGTGTTCCCCAACCTTTTTGAACCATGGCACACCTTTTTCATTGAGAACCTTTCCATGGCACACCACCAGCTGAAACATACAAACTTCAACTTTGATGATAATTACTTGATATTAACTATGTCAAGTAATTATCATCAAATTTTATTACATAAACCTGCATGTCAAACACAGGCTCGTGAGAGAATTTTTAGTGGCCCCTGAAATAATTTTCCTTTTCATTGTAATTTTCGATACTATGGCATGTTATACTTAATTTTAAAGCTTTTTTTTCAGGAATACGACCAAGTATATCTATCATTCTATCAATTTTCAATTACTTTTCTTGAAAATAATATCAGAAAATAATATACAAACAATGTCAAATAATTTTTTTATATTGACAATAACATAACATTCTCAAAATACAAAAATGAGTGAAAAGAAATAACCTTTATAAATTTGGCCCCCAACGAAGATGAGTTTGACACCCCTGATATAGACAATCAAGCAAGAGCAAAAAGGTTCTTTTTCCCATATTTTGACCAATAATGTGATGTTGGGTTATTCCTAAAGGCACACCAAACAACATCTCTAGGCACACAAATGTACCACGACACACTGGTTGAAAAACACTGGTCTCGACACTAGGGAAAAAAGCGTATATATAATCTAGCGTAAATATTTATTTTTAAACAAATGTGAATAAACTCAGGATTGCATGTCACATGACTTTTTGAGGCTTCCAACTATTCTTGCTGGCTGACTTCCATGCTGACCTGTCGTTAAAACGGGGCGTGAAACAGACGGTTTCTGAATATTTATATGCGTGACTTTCATAAATACGCTAGTCTTGAGCGCTGCATTTATTGTTAGCAGCAGATGCGTACACTCAGATCTAGGCGGATCTCACATGTTCATAAATCCCACGTTGGATTTTGCGTATTTGGAATATACACCAAAAATATACACCCTTTTCTGCACAAGTTTCATAAAGGAGGGCCACTGAGTGTTAAATGAATGCATTTGATCCCATTTCTCCTCAGACCGTTTGGCCAGATGCTCCGGCCAATTCTGGATTCCATTCACATTGCCCCTTCTGGAGGAAATGCCATCAATGAAAGAAGAAACGTTTGACAAGAAAGGAGCCGAGAGGGTACTTCCACTGTCCAGTGTTAGCGTCGATTTACATACAACAGTGTTTCCTTTTACTTTTTTACTGTTGAACCTGATTTCAGCATCAGCAAACCACAAACAACCAACCAGTCACAAAAGGATTTCACAGCTGTTATTTTTACAAAAAAAACCGTCTCTTTAATTCATTTGGATTCCTATACATATCACTACCCAACTGAAGTGCTGAATAATACTTAAAATTATAGTGAAAATTAAAAAAGATATAATTTAACATATTGAATTTCAGTTAATTTTTTATGAAGTGATGGGACCATAGTAATTTTATTTCATTTACTTAGTTCTGTTGTTAACGCATTGTTAACAGTATTTTTTCTACCTATCAATATAAAAGCTTTTTGTTGTTTTGCTCCCGTGTGCAATATTTAAAGTCTCTAGTTTGGCTCCACATTACACGCAGCAAAACAGTGTTTTCTGTTTTTAAGAGCATTATTTCCATCTGGTTTATTTTGACTGCTTTTGCCTTTGTTTATTTGTTGTTGTTGTTGGTGCACAAAAGTTGTCAAACTTTTGCCTTCATTTCATTACAGTGTTTTCCTATAAGTTTGTGTTCTCCTATGAAGTTTGCCAACACAGATATATCTTTTTGTCTGAAGCTAATTTATATTTATCAATACAAATCTAATATAATCTTTCAGATTTAATATATACATATTTAAATGTACGAACTTGTCCTTATTGTAATCCGATATTTAAATCAAAAAGGTGCAACTCAGTATTAATATGTGATTTTGTATGGTTCAAATACACTGTGTTCCAACGTTTTGGCTTTTATATGTTCAACACTCCAGATCTTGCCTGGTTGTACCACACCATCGTACAAATTCCATTTCGTACATGCAGGGAAATAATGATTTACCAGAGTTTCCGGATGCTAAGGCCAGGCTACTCCAGATCACTCTGCCATGAAAATAATTTGCCATAAATATATATACATACAAGCATTTTACACGTCTTGTCTCTCAACCTCAAAAGCAGTTTAAACAATGAGTGGGATTAACAAATGCATATTGTAAAATGACAAATGAGAGATTATAGTGTAATTAAAGCCAGCATTTCTCCATCTCTATTGTCACCAATCCACACTGTGAATCTGTCTAAACTGCATAGAGGACATTATCAAATCTCAGGTCATGTGACTTGCCTTTTGACTTCTTAATACACCGGTAACAACCAACCTGACCATTGAAATGTATTACATGTAACAGCACCTTTTTACCAGTTCTTTTTTTAAGTTGTCTGATTGTAGATGTCTTGTGTATGTGTTTTTGTATTTGTAAAACACAATAAAACTTTTGACTGCAAACTAATGAGTTTAGTTTCCTTATTATAATCATGATTTTTACTGAAGTATGGGATGAAAATGGAAGTGGTGTGCTCCTAACTACCACACCACATCCACGGTTGGGGTGACAGTGGCTGAGTTGGTAGAGCATTGGCCTTTGAGCCTGAAGGTTGTGGGTTCGAGCCCACCACAAGACTTTCTCCACTGAGTTTCACTGATGTTTGTTCTTGACAAGACACTTAACCTGTGTGAGTGTGTGGTGAAAGAATAATGACATAATTGAGCGTCCAAAAAAGCGCTATATAAAACCGATGCATTATTATTATGAACAATAAGCATAGAATCATGTTATTTCATGATACACAACTATCTTGTTATTTCATGATACACAACTATCATGTTATTTCATGATACCAATTTATCATGTTATTTCATGATACCAATTTATCATGTTATTTTATGATACCAATTTATCATGTTATTTCATGATACACAACTATCATGTTATTTCATGATACACAACTATCATGTTATTTCATGATACCAATTTATCAGAAGCTGACAGCTTATTCTTCTTCTGTATCTACAGTATCATGTTATTTCATGATAAACTGGTATCATGAAATGACATGATGAATTGGTATCATGAAATTTCATGATAAATTGGTGTCATGAAATAACATGATACTGTAAATTGGTATCATGAAATTTCATGATAAATTGGTATCATGAAATAACATGATAGTTGCGTATCATGAAATAACATGATACCAGCGGGAAAAAAAAACACACTCACAAGTGAACCAAACAAGCTTCCGTACTTAATGAATTGAACATTTTAATTGAATCATTATTTAAGTACAGCTTTTGGTTTCTTCCCTATATTTAAGAGCAGTCTTACTGTTGAAACTGTGTAGAATGTTACAATGGCTGACAATATTAGATATACTTCATTAGGAATGAAACCTCTGCCTTTTGTTTTTTACTACACTACTGTATAGTGTTGGTCATTTGTGGTGGTACTTGGAGAGGCAAGTATTTTCTGAGGTGGTACTTGGTGTAAAAAGTTTGAGAACCATAAATACACAGCCTACAAGGCACAGCAATAATGCAGTTCTCTAACCATCCACAGAGAAGCACTGTTGCTTTCTCTACAGCTCGTGTTCAAAGGGATATGTGGGATATGCATTTGAAACAAGTTTCATTTATAATCATGACCTAATTTATTTATTTGCTTCTTCGACAGTGTTTTACATAATTGAGCTGCCGTTCATTATCCATTCATTCTCTTGCTAGGATTTGGTACATACCCTCACTGGGTGAATGGTTTTTTTCCATGATTAAAATAATCGTTATAGTGCTTTTACCTCTTTCTTTTGTGTGTCCTTTTTTTCTTTGCACAATTTCTCTTTAGTCATATAGCTATACATATTATGATTATTATTGTTCTATTTATAATTATATGATATAATCATCTATTCTATTCTATTTTTTCCTGTTGTATTCTCTTGTGTAGGTGTGCATGTATATATACATGTGTTTGAGTAGATGTATAGCAGAAGCAATTTATTATATCTAATTATACTTTGCACTGAAATGAAAAAACTTTCAAAATAAAAAAACATTTTGAAAGGCTTCTTTCAAAATGTAACATACATGAACACATATTTTCAGTATTATAAGATAAGATAAGATATACTTTATTAATCTCACACAGGAGAAAAAAATATTGCCAAGCCACTCACACACAATCTATTTCCATATTTTACCAATTGGGATTAGTTTCTAGTCGTCTTCCACTTCTCTGTCATTTATCTTATCTCTATCCTATCTTTATCTGCTGTAGTTTATGTAGTTATAATGCATGAGCTGTGTCCAAGCGATTTATCTTGTGGATAAACAACCTTTCCAAGGAAGCACAAGGTTGTTGTTGCTGGTCTTTGGTTCCTTTCTATCCACTGCCACTTTTACGCATACAGATGGTCCTTGGCCTCCACCACACACCTGCTGAATCAGCTAAGTTACTAAAAGAATAATGCGACATTTGACAGCTGTTAACCTTTTTCTTCACTGGAAGGCTTCCATTTGACAGGGCCACAGTTGGATGTGGCTCGTCCCCTCTCAGTCACTGGCCCCTGCTGTGATGACCACCCTCATACAGAGGTGACTCAGGAGCACCCTCGGCCCCAGTGCTGAATCATCATTTATCCTGCAGTATATTCCTGGTCAAGTCTTTAGACAACAACTTAGCAGTAGTGTACCAGATATCATTTTTAGGTTTAGGTTACTTAAAGTGCCTTAAAAGCATGGAGATTATTGTTAGTTACCTAATGTATCTTAAGTTCTAAGAATGGTGCGTAGCCCCTTAGACGGCTACGCTATGGGTAACTCAGAGGCTCCCAGCCTCCCGCCAGAGAGAACTAAATGCTCCAATCACGTGCCAGTCCCATCTATAAATAGCCCTCTACAGGCCGTACCAGCCACTTTGAACTCGCCAAAGCCAGGCTGGACTGATGGGCCCGTAGCTACGCACCATTCGTAGAACTTAAGTTACGTTAGGTAACTAACAATTCTTCTTCATGGTGCTCCGCCCCTTAGAAGGCTACGCTATGGGTTACCACCATAGACTGTAAATTTTAACGGACAGAGTCACACCTGTCTTCGCCGTTCTAACTAATGAGCCAAAAAATGTGCTTTACTGGAGCTATCCAAAATGGCCGCGAGTGGTCCCGCCCACAAGAAAATTGTGAAAAAACGCATCTGCGCATGCGTCAGCTGGCGAGAGCTCCATTCATTTGAACGAGAGACTTCAAAAATTCACAGCAAGTAAACTAGAGTGGTCCAAAAAAATTCACCCCCCTCAGCATTGACACACATGTGGAACGGAGCTTTGGGCCAAGAGCCAGCTTTTGGACCATCCTGTAAAGACGTTTTCGAGAGGGTCAGAATTCTACTTCTGGGTCTTGGTCCCACCCGGGGAAGTAGGTCCTGAGCTTGGTACGCCATGCGGACCGCTCGGGAAACCCAATGCGCCAGCCGCTGAGGCGTCAACGGGGCGCCCTTGTCCCTAGGACCCAAACATACGAACAGCCGGTCAGAGCGCCTGAACGCAGCTGTAGCATCCAAATAGCATCTCAGCATCCTGATTGGGCATAACAGGTGCTGCCTCTCATCCTCCACTGAGGCATGAGGGGGTGGTTAGAAAGGTCTGATCCTGATGACTCTCGACCTGAAGGTCGAAAGGGCAACCTTGGGGAGGAAGGCTGGGTTGGGCCACAGCTCCACCAGAACATCCCCTGCACCAAACGATAGACAGGCCGGACTAATCGAGAGAGCGCACAGATCCCCCGCCCTCTTCGTTGACGTAAGAGCCAACAAAACGGCAGTCTTGAAGGTCACGCACTACAGACTAGCCTGGGTCACCGGCTCGAAAGGAGGCCCCGACAGGCCCCTCAGAACCACTCTATGGTCCCAGACCGGGGGTATCCTCCTGAGGATGTCACTGAAAACAACTCCAGGTCTGTTTTTGATGAGCAATATTGTAACATGGTCATTTGATCAAAAAAGGCGACTTGGCATAATATCAAAAACATTTTATTCATAAAGCTCTTTTAAGGGCTCCTCCAGAGGAAACACTCGGGATACTAAGACATACATA